GGAGGAGGGGCTGGGGGCCTGGACCCCTGGGTCTGAGGGAGGAGGGGGCTGGGGGCCTGGACCCCCGGGTCTGAGGGAGGAGGGGGCTGGGGGCCTGGACATCTGGGTCCTGGAGAGGAGAGACTGGGGCCTGGACTCCAGAGTCTCCGAAGACATCAGTGGGAAGAAATGGTCTAGAGTCCTGATGGGGATGAAGGAGGAGTTTTGGCCATCTGGATCATAGTGCTAGGGAACCGTGATGCCCCAAAGCCGGTTTCTGTCCTTTCCTCCCTCTGCCCGTTCTCCCCTCAGTCCTGAGCCTCCTGTTTTTCTGCATCTACTGGGGCCAGTATGCCACTGATGGCATTGGCAACGGGAGTCTGAAGATCTTGGGTGAGAACGAAGTGGGCTGGGGAAGGGTGCCCGGGCTCTCTCCGAGCACTGTGTCTGAGACACCCTCTCCTCCCTTCTCACAGCCAAGCTGCTCTTCTCCTCCAGCTTCCTCATCTTCCTGCTGATGCTCATCCTTCTGGGGAAGGGATTCACGGTGACACGGTGCCCAGGCTGGGGCGGGAGGGAGTGCTGGGGGGAGGTGTGGCTGGGCTAGGGAACAGGGCACTCGGGTGGATCTGGGGGGTGGCTGCCCGCTTCTCCCTGACAGCCCCCACCCCTGCTGTCTCCCCTCATGGCCGGCTGCCAGGGGCCGCATCAGCCACTCGGGTTCCGTGAAGTTGTCTGTCTACATGACCCTGTACACCCTTACCCACGTGGTGCTGCTTATCTATGAGGCCGAGGTGAGTGCCACCCGCCACTACCCAGGCCTTGCCTCCCCGCCACCCCTCCCCCAAGGCTTTTGGCCACCTCCTCCACCTGTCTGCCAGCCCTTCTTCACATCGCACTCTTGCTGGCTCGCTCGCTCCCACTCTGCGATTTCTGCCTGCCCATCTGTCTCTCTGAGTGCATGCCTCCCTTCTTCACCATCTCTGAGGAGCCTTCTTCCTCCTCCCTCTGTCTCTCACTGTCTGTCACATTTATGCTCAATGTCATGGCTGAGAGTTCAGGAGTCCCGCAGACCTGGATTCCACTCTGGCTCTCCCACTCCCCAGCTGGCTGACCTTGGGTGATCCCCGCCCCCTCGAAGCCTGTTTCCTCTTCTGGAAAAGTAGGAGGGTTTTACCTATCCCAGTGAGGCTCCCCTAAGGCTTTATATGACCTTGGCTTTGACTTTGGCCAAAAAGTGTCCCTCTTAGCCTCAGTTTCCCCCTCTGTGAAGTGGGGTGATAATAAGACCTAACTCACCGGGTTGAGGCAAATGGAAAAGCTTACGTATGGCAGGTGTCTCGCCCCATGTTGGGCCCCTGGTAGCAAATGTATTCTCTTTCTCTCTGCGCTTCCGTTTCTGTTTTGTGCTCTCCAGCTGCTTCTGTTCTGACCAAGTATCTCTGCCCCCTGGGTGCTCAGGGGTGGGGTCTGGGGTCCCTGTGTGGAGGGCAGGGGGTCAGAGCTATGATGAACCCTCTCCCTTGCGTCCAGTTCTTTGACCCGGGCCAGGTACTGTACACGTACGAGTCGCCGGCGGGCTATGGGCTCATTGGGCTGCAGGTTGCGGCTTACGTGTGGTTCTGCTACGCCGTGCTCATCTCCTTGCGCCACTTCCCGGAGAAGCAGCCTTTCTATGTGCCCTTCTTTGCTGCCTACACCCTCTGGTGAGACGTGCTGGGCCCCCAGCCTGTCCCTCTCTGCCGGTCCTGGGGCTTCCTGGAAACGGCTATCCCTTTCTCAGGCCCTCCTCAGTCAGGCAGCTGTCCCAGAGTCTGCCATTTACTCACTTTGTGACCTGGAAAAAAGTCATCTTCCCAAATTAAAAAAAGAAAAGAAAAAAAAGGTGCCTCAGGTTGCCTACCCATAAAGAAAGGATTCTCTTGAGCATGCGTCGGGGAATATGTGAGGCACATAGTAAGTGTTCAATAAAAGCTAGTTGTAATTTTTTATCGTTCAACGTAACATAGCAGTACAGTAGGGCCTGACTGCCTGGGTTCAGATCCCAGTTCTAAAGCTTGTAAGCTGTGTGACCTCACGCAAAAATTAACTTCTGGCGGCCTCAGTTTCCTTACCTGTTTAATGGGGATGGAAATTGCACTTGCCTCATAGCGTCATTGTGAGAGTTAATGAGTTTATATACGTGAGATGCAGTAAGTCCTTAATTGTTATTGTCCTATGTTAATTCATTCACCAAACATCTTTTGATTTCCTATCAGGTGCCAGGATTTGGGGTGGGGTGGAACTGAGTTAAATTCAACCTAGTCTTTGCCTTCCAGAATTTCCCAGGCCAGTGGGATTCCTGCCCCCCTTTTAACCTCTGGCTTCTGAAGGTCACACTGGCTTCTCTCCAGTTTGGGACCCACCTGGGCTCCATGTGTGTGTGCATGGCAGGGGAGCTGGGGCCACGGGGTGGGGATGAGGGCAGGGGCAGTGTCTCTACTGACCCAGTACCTCCCCTTCAGGTTCTTTGCAGTTCCTGTGATGGCCCTGATTGCCAACTTCGGGATCCCCAAGTGGGCCCGGGAGAAGATTGTCAATGGCATCCAGCTGGGGATCCATTTGTATGCACATGGCGTGTTCCTGGTGAGGAAGGGCATCCAGGTGGGGGTGGGAGCCTGATGGCGGAGGATACGTGAGGCTGAACCTTCTGTTCTGAGTTCTCCATCCATTTCCTTCACTTCATCCCTTTAGTCATCCAACAGACATTGAGAGCCTGCTGGGTTCCTGCAGGCTGCTCTCCTGTGTCCGCCCCCCGCCCACAGCCCACCCTCTTTTATTCCTTGCTCCCATCTTGTCCTGGCCTCTTCCCCAACCCACCCCCCCCTCCCCTTAAATAAACTCTATGCTCAATGTGAGGCTCGAACTCATGACCCTGTGATCAAGAAGCCTCATGCTGTACCATCTGAGCCAGTCGGGCGCCCAATAACCCCACCCTCTTTCTTTCACCCCCTTCCATTCCCATTCCGGACCCTGTGTCCCCAGACTCTCACATTTCTCTTCTCTATCCCCCTGCCTTTCCCAAACCCCTTGGTCACTACTCCACCCTTCCCCAACACGTTCTCCCATCTGCCATCACAGGCCATTGTCCAGGAAGAAGCAGGTGGGGTGGGCCAGGCTGGGGTCCCAGGGGGACCTGGATCTGAATGCTATCAAGAGGCTATCAGCACCAACCTCTTCTTTGCCCTGGTTTATATCCTATCTGGCCTTCTGGGTGACAGTTCATGTACATATATGTTCATATATCTCGTTTAATTGTCAGAGCAGCCCCAGGACAGGATGGATAATGGTGGTTGAACCCACTCCACAGAAAGGGGAAGAGGCTAAGGCCCAGATGGGGGAGGTGACCTGCTAGGGCCTCCATGGCCTTTGGTATTAGGGCAGAAGACTTTGAGCCCAGTCCTTCAGCAGACCATCAGAGAGCGCCAGACCTGGATATAGGCATTGATGAGGGTCCCAGGTCTTGCCTGACCCCAGGGGACCACAATGTGCTCTGGGTGGGGAATGTACTCAGTCACAGGTGGCCAGGTCCCCCATCTTCCACCCCAGAGCCTGACTTAGTTCCAGACTCACCTTCCCAGCACAGCCCTCCTTGAAACTCTGCAGGAAGTCAGAAAGGGACAGAAAGAGGAGAACTGCTGGGAACCATCATGTGCCAAGCTCTGCACCAGGGGTTTGCATTTCTACCCTCTCCTCATCTTTCCAAGTCGGCACTGCAATCCCTTTTCCCCAGTGAGGCTCAGGGAGTTTTATCAACGTGACCCAGATCCCATACTCAATGAGCTGTGGGGCGAGAGGTGGGGTGCGGGCCCGAACATGGAAATGCAGTGCCCTTTTAGCTATATTTCACCTTCAGCCAGTTTCTTTCCTAAAAATGCTGTTAGGTGAGCACAGTTCCACCTCTGGCATTCCACAGCTCCTTGTCCCCTGTTGAGCACAACATTAGTGGGGGGGTCATGCTGGGCTCCCATGTGCAGTGCTAGAGTCACACATAGTCCCTGCCCTCATGACCTACTAGACTAACTGGGGACACATCTCTACATTTGACCAATATTTATTGAGTGCTTATGAGGCAGGTACTGTTGTTCTAGCCGGTATTGGGGATTCAGCAGGGAACTGAACAAATTCCTACCTTCATGGTGCTAACATTCTAGAGTCTATCTGGTGTTGTCCAATTGACCTTTCTATGTTTATGAAAATATTCTATACTCTGTGCTGTCCAATACAATAGCTACTATCCACATGTGGTTACTGAGCACTTCAATGTGGCTAGTGTGACTGAAGACAAAAATTTTCATTTACCTTTAATTAAATGTAAATAGCTCCATATGGTTAGTGGCTGTCATACTGGACAGGGAAGGATGCTGACACTTAACCAATCTGCGATAAGTCAGTGATCAGGGCTCTGATGGAGGAAGGATCGCAGAGTGGTCAACGGACGAAAAAGGTGGGAGCTCAGGGCACAGTGAGAGCCCAGAGTAGGTGCCTAATCCAGGCTGGAGGGCCGCAGGGAATCGTGGGGGATGTCAAGTGAAGGGGGATCCTTAGGACCCCATGTTTATGGAGACGGCCTGAGGCCTGGAAAGCGCTTCTCCAACCAGCACCTGGCCTCTCGCCCCAGATCATGACACGCCCTTCGGCGGCCAACAAGAACTTCCCGTACCACGTGCGCACGTCGCAGATCGCCTCGGCCGGGGCCCCAGGCCCCGGAGGGAGCCAATCCACGGACAAGGCCTTCCCGCAGCACGTCTATGGGAACGTGACGTTCATCAGCGACTCGGTGCCCAACTTCACGGAGCTCTTCTCCATCCCCCCGCCCGCCTCCTCCGTAAGCCCCGCGCCCCCGGCGCACGAGGAGCTGCTGGCGCCGCCCCTGGAGTACTTGACCCCGCTCCCGGCCCCGCCGCCGCCCCCCTCTCCCAGGCACCTGAGCCCACCCCCCGCCTTTCGCACGCCCCGAGCCCCAACACCGCGCCGCGACCTACCCCCGGCGCCCGCGCCCACCCTGCCCGATTGGGTCCTGGCGCTGTTGCGCACGCCCCCGCAGACGCCACGCGCCGTGCCCCCGCCACCAGCCTTCCGCGGCTCTCCACCCACTCCCCGGCCGCCGCCGGAGTTCGCCCCGCGCGCTCCGACGCCGCCCCTTGAGTACCTGGCCCCGCTGCCCAGGCGCCCGGCCACCCGGTCCTTCCCTGATTGACACCTGCGCCCGCACCTCGGGAGGGGGGTTCCTTTGCGGGGAGGGGGACGGGCCTTCGGGGCCGCATCTGCCCCCCGTGGGTCCCGGATGGCCTCTGACCCTGACCCCCCTCCCAGGCCGGGAAGCAGGTGGAGGAGACGGCGGTGGCGGCGGCGGTGGCCCCGAGGGGCCGCGTGGTGACCATGGCCGAGCCGGGCGCGGCCTCCCCGCCCCTTCCCGCTCGGTTCCCCAAGGCGGCCGACCCGAGCTGGGATGGCCCGACGCCGCCCTATCAGCCGCTCGTGCCCCAGACGGCGGCGCCGCACACCGGCTTCACCGAATACTTCAGCATGCACACGGCCGGGGGCACAGCACCCCCGGTCTGAGCACCCTTGCCCACCCCGCCCCATGGGCCGCGCGCCGGGCCCCGGCCGGGCTCCGGATCCCCGCTCTATCCCGGCCCCAGGGCTCTGCCATTCCAGGCCTTCCCGACCCTCCCCACCCCGCGCGCCCAGGTAGGGGTGCGTACAGTCCCGCTCCGCCCCCTTCCCCCGACTTTTGTGCCAAACGGTCCCGCGGGAGCCGCTCTCCCCGTCCCCTCCCTCAGCCCCTGCCCCGAGCGGCGCCGGATTCTGGGCTCCCGCTGTTCCGAGACCTACGGCCCCCTGGTCCCCTCCGAGACCTCTGATCCTGCCGGACCCCGGAACACCAGTGACGATCGCCGGGACCCTGCCCGTGACTCTCCAGGACTCCGCGACCCCGAGCCATTGCTCCTGGGACGGATATTGTGAATCTGGTCTCGACTCTGAAACCTTCCCTTGGATCTCTGTGACCTCGGACCCGAGCTCTGCCCACCCCATCTCCATCCGGGGGCCCTCCCTCAGGTCCCCGGCGGAAAGACTTTTTTCCCTTCTTGCCAAAATAAAGCGGATTCGTTGAGTTTTTATCTAGAAAATGGCCTCTTTACATCTTGATGGTGCTCAGAGGCGGGGCGGAGCATGAACCATTCCAGGCTCTGGACCTCAGTGTGTCCATCTGTGAAATGGCATTTTGGGAGGGGCCTGCATAACCTGGCCTTCATACTGGCCCGGAATCTGGGGGCACCGAACATCTAAATCATCCACCAGTACCCTCTTACTGCACCGCTCCTTTATTTTTTTACCGTCTCTTCTCCAGTCAGGGCTAGAGGCGCCCTCCAGTGGCACAAACTTTGCTCAACCACCTGTACCCCGAGTCTGCGTTACGATTTTAGCACTGCGCATGTGTAGTTCTCTCTTCGCAAGTCAAGAAGGTCACTGCTGCGCACGCGTCTGGGAACAAATGGGCGGGGAAGTTTCCGGAAGTCTCCCTCCGTGCAGGGGTGGGGTTGGATGCTCCGCAGTCCTCCCAGGGCCGCTCTGACCAGCGGCTCTGCGACTTCTCGCCTCCTCTCCATCTTTCCTCCCACAGCGGCCGCTCGGCCCCCGCCCCCTCGTCCTCCCGGCGGGTCTTCCCAGGCCGCTCTGGCCCGAGCGTCCCCTCGTCTCACTGATCTGGCCCATCCGGCTCCGGAGGGAGGCGCGGGTGGGTGAGCAAGGGAGTGCGTCTATGGGGTCCAGGCCCGAGCCCCTGAAGACGGGCTCCGCCCCCGACACCCGCTCGCGCCCCGCCCCCGGCTGGAGGGGTCTCTCTCGGATCTTCCGGGCCTGGCCCGGCACGACCCGCACCCTCTATGGAGGCCCCCGCCGGGCTGTAGAGCCCTTCGCCCCCTGGGGACCCACCCGTATATAAGGTCCGTTTTGGCCTGCAGCGGCCCGCCTTTGTAACTGCTGGACATCGTCTATGGGGTCAGCTAGCCTATGGGGGCCCGTAACTGTAAGGGACTCCCACGGTCCCTAGGGGTCGGCCTCGTCCATAACGACCCCATTTACGGGTTCTTCCATGGGTCTATAGGACCTACTCCGCGGCTTCCAGGGCCGGTCTACAGCGGCGGTTCCCTTCGTGGGGTCTGCAACTCCTGGACCTCCCTGGTCTACAAGGCCATGTCCCGTCTATAGAGGTCACATTTGCAGGGCCTCACGCCGCGTGGAGTGTCCTCTCCCGGTCTTTAAGGCTTGTCCCGTCTGTAAGAGTGCGGGAGGCGGCGATGGCCCTGGGCCTGGCTCTGGCCGTGGCGCTGGCTCTATCTTTGGCCCTGCTGGGGCCTCTGATACCTGGGGCCCAGGCAGGGGACTGCAAGGGGCAGCGGCAAGTGCTGCGGGAGGCGCCAGGCTTCGTGACGGATGGTGCGGGCAACTACAGCGTCAATGGCAATTGCGAGTGGCTCATCGAGGGTGAGTGGGGCCGCGTGGGTCACACACCCACCCATTCGCTAATTCATTCATTTGTGCACTCATTAATCCCACTCACCGCATTCCCACACCCCAGTTCTGGTCCAGGCCCTTTGATCTGAAATGCAGCCAACCTGGGCCCTGTCCTGGAAGTCCTTGAAGTCTGGTGGGGGAGTTGCACCCAGGCCCAGATGGACAATTACAAGCCAAGAGCATCAATGAGAGATACTCTGAATGATTGTTAGCAACTCAGGCTCTGAGCCCAACCACTTGCTTCAAATTTGGGTTCCACTTCTCACTAGCTTTGTGAATTTGAGCAGTCAGCTTCCTTTCTCTGAGGTCCAGCTCCCTCCCCTCCCAAGTAGGGTTCATACTAGTATTGACCTCATAGGGTCGTTGGAATTCAATGAGAACACCATTTAACATGCCTGGCACATAGTATGTACACAGTAAATGGTATTAGGATTATACTGTTGTTATTTTTATTATTTACTTATTTATTTTTAAAGATTTTATTTATTTATTTGACAGAGAGCGAGAGCAGGAACACAAGCAGGGGGAGTGGGAGAGGGAGAAACAGGCTTCCCGCGGAACAGAGAGTCCGATGCGGGGCTCGATCCCAGGAGCCTGGGATCATGACCCGAGCCGAAGGCAGACACTTAACGACTGAGCCACCAACAGGTGCCCCTGTGGTTATTTTTAAAGTAATTCAATAAAGGCATTTTTTTCAGTCATTCATGTGCCAGACATTATATTTGCTATTGAGACATAACAGAGACCAAGGCAACCCTAGCAATCCGTGATGACTTGGGGCTTAGAATCCAGTGGGGAAGACAAACACATGAATAGAGAGTGACAACCTAGAGTGGGTGGGACTGTGATGGAGGAACCCTAGGGGCCTGTGGGAGCCAGAGGAAGTACCTGACCTGAGGGTTGGGGGAAGAGAGAGGGCTTCCTGGGGGAGGAGATGTCTGAGCTGAGACCCAAAGGACCAATAGCAATTAACCGGGAGGAAGAGTAAGAGCATTCCAGAGGGAACAGCCTATGCAAAGGCCACATTCCTACCCTTGTGGGCTCCTAGTCTAGTGGGGGAAGCAAACCCACCCCCAAGGAGTGGGAAGCCCAGAAGACGTCTGATTTAGCCTGGCCTGGAGCTAAGACCAAAGGCATGTGAAAGAGGGAACAGGAGGGCCCCCCCCAGGCCAGGAGAATAGCCCATGCAAAGGCCTGGCAGCAGGAGGGATGATGCTTTTGAGGACACAGAATACAAGAAGACAAACAGTGAACCAGAGGGTGGAGGACTGATTTTGACCTGTGTCCTGAGGACACCAGGGAGGTGGAAGAGAAGTCCCAAGGCCGTGGCTGGAGAAGTCCAGGAAGGCTTCTCTGTAGCGGATGTAGGAGCTGGTGTCCAAGGAGTGGTAGGAGTCCCCCAGAGGAGGTTCTGGGCAAAGGCCAGAGGCTTGATGTCCCAGATCAGGCACGGTCTCCCTTTATAGGCTGCAGACCTTGGTCTTTATCCAAGGACACTGGGGAGTGTGGGAGGGTTTTGAACAGGGAAGGACATGATCTGACTTAAGTTTTAGGTCTCTGTGGCTCTTGTATGGGATATGGATGAAGCATGTTTCTTGGGGATGAGTGTGTGTGTCCCCAGCTTGGGGGCCATGCCTGTCTCGGGGTGTGGGTAAGCACAGAATGGGAAGTATGGGTATGTGTTTGATGTATACATCATTATCTGGCCTTAAAGAGCCCAGCCTTGTTGGGGATGGTAAGGCTGGATGCAGACGTTCATTCTACAGCATGCTCAGGCTATGTCTAGAAGGAGGTAGAGGGGTTGGGTAGATGGGCGGAGGGGGATGAGAGAATACTGGGGGTCACAGAGGAGGGGCCATTGGAATAGGGTTCTGAAGCATGCATAGGAGTTTGCTGGGTGAGAAAAAGGAACAGCTTCTGTGAAGACAAAAGAGAGGCTGGTGTGTCTCAGGAGCCATATCTAGGTTTTTCTGGTCTGATCGGACTGCTGGCTGAGAGGTGCGGAGGGCGCCACAAGCAGGGGAAGAAAGGCCTTGAATGTCATGCTGAGCAACTTGTCTTCTTCTCTTGGCATTGACGGGGAGCCAAAGAAGGATTGTGGGTGGTGGCCTGGAGACTTGGTGTGCTAGTCTTGCTGGAGAGGAGGAGGTGGAGAGGGGCTGAGAGCGCTGAGAGGTGCTGGGGAAGTTTCACCAGTGAGATCTGGGGACCACCCGGTGGGGCGTTGGCAAAGGGAGGAGTCTAGGTGACTTCCAGATCCTCCTTGATCTCTCATGCTTCCCAATGCCTGTTACCTTTGAGAACAAACATGTTCCCCCATCCTTTAAAAAATAAGCAGCTGACCCACTTCCTTTTGTACCACATCCACACTTTATTGTAGCCAATCCTCATAACATCCTCATAAATAAAAAGGCAGTCTGCTTTTGAAAACCAGGGGGTTGGGGTGCCTGGGTGGCGCAGCCGGTTAAGCGTCCGACTCTTGGTTTCGGCTCAGGTTGTGATCTCAGAGTTGTGAGATCGAGCCCTGAGTCAGGCTCCTTGCTCAGCTCAGCATGGCATCCACTTGGGTTTCTCTCTCCCTCTGCCCCTCCCCCCACACTCTCCCCACCCCCATGCGCTCTCTCTTTCTCTCTCTCTCTCTCTCAAAAAAATAAATAAATATTTAAAAAGAAAATGAAAAGCAGGGAGTTTTGGGGTTGGATCCCTGTCCAGGAGGGCATGGGCGTTGAGCCTGTGTTGGGTGGAAGCAGGAGACCTTGAACTTAGGGAGGAACTTGGGGAAAGCAGATGGTGAGCTGGCTTCCAGCATGCCCTTGACAAAGATGTACTTGTTGTGATTCTGGGAACTGAGCTTTATATTTTGGTTGAGGCTGGCAAGATTCTGGGAGGTCTGGTTGCCTGGTCTGGCGAAATGGTTCTTCTTCCTTCCCCAGACCATGGTTTGGGGTCTGTGTGATATTCTCAGGGGCTCTGGCCAGAGCCTGAGGGAGGGCTGCCAACTTCAGTATTCTTTCTTTTGTGCATTTCTTCATTCCTTGCTCAGTGCCAGGCCCTGTGCTGGTTAATGTCAGGGAGGGACCCCAAGATGAGTTAGGCCTAGGCCCTGCCCTGTGGGCCTCCTTGGCTGCAGAGGAGACAAACCCAGACACAGATGGTCCTGGCACAGAAGAATGAAGGTTATAAAACCTAAAAAAAAAAAAAAAGCCCTCCATGGCTCCCTGCCATTCCCGGTATGCAGGGGAGCATGCTGAGGGGCATGGGGGAAGGGGCCGGCCCAGGGTCCCCCAGCAGGTCAGGAGCAGAGCTGGAACCCAGGTCTAGTTTCCTGAGCCCCTAGTGTGAGATGTGGGCTGAGGGTTACGGAGGAGGGCTGGGCCTCTCCCATGGTTGTAGCTGGATGTCAGCTGGGACTACAAGTCATCCAAACACTCACTCACCTGAGCCAGACGTCCGCGAAAGCTCCCTCACGGGGCTGGCGGTTGCTGCTGGCCGCGGGCTGGAAGCTCAGCTGGGGCTGTCAGCTGGGACGCCGACACGTGGCCCCTGCCATGTGGCTTTGGCTTTTCATAGCTTGACAGCTGTGTTCTGAGAAGGAGCATTCTATGATGTCCAGGTAGAAGCTGTGAGGCTTCTCTGATCTAGCTGTGCAGGGGCCAGAATGTCTGCTCTGCTGGTTTGTATGGGTCACGCTAGTCTTTCTGAGGGTCTTCCCAGATACAAGGGGCAAGGAACCAGCCCTCACCTCTCGATGGGAGGAGTGGCCAAGAAGTTTGAATCCACCTCAGTACCGTTATAACTCCACTTTCCAGATGAAGAAGCAGATCCAGAGAGGTTAGGGGACTTGCCCAAGGCCACACGGCTAGTAGCTAGTAAGTGGCAGAGCCAAGATGTGAGCCCAGGCAGTCTGGCTCAAGTCTGTGCCTTTAGCTACTACAATAAACTGAGCCTTCGGGTGGGGTGGGGGTGCGAGAGGAGCTGTGGTTCTCCAGGGTTTGGCCCGTCCCGGGGGAAGAAACTGGCCTCTTTCCTTGGAGCTCTGATCAGCCTGGAACAGGCGACCCACCCAGAAGCCCTTTTCCATCTGGGAGTATGCTTCTCTGCTCAGGTCTGGACCCTGCCCCTCAGGCTTAGTGTCTGAGGCTCAGGAAAAAAGGAGAACAGCTCTGTGTGACCCCCGGGGTGGGGTCCTTTCTGGGGCACTTCAGCTTTCCCATCTGAATGGTGGGAGATATTCAGCCTGGTCTCAGGAGTCCTTTCCGGGGCTGACACTGTAATTCCTTCTCTGGCCCCTGTCCCTCTGGCTGTCACAGCTCTGACCTCCCTGGGCTGTTGAAGGCAGGGCTTGGGTCTGACTCATCTTCGGGCCTCCCACATCACCAGGCAGGCCTTGGTATTTTGGGGTGAGGTACGTGGAGGCACGGGGAGAGGGTCCACATCTGAGCCCAGCCCCCCTGCTCTCGCTGCCCAGCCCCAAGCCCCCAGCACCGGATCCTGCTGGACTTCCTTTTCCTGGACACGGAGTGCACTTACGACTACCTGTTCGTGTATGACGGGGACTCTCCCCGAGGGCCCCTGCTTGCCAGTCTGAGTGGGAGCACCCGGCCTCCACCCATCGAGGCCTCCTCAGGCAAGGTCGGTGGGGCCGGACTGTGGGGGGAGCTGGGCTGTTGGGGGGCCAGGCTGTGCGGGGGTAGACTGTGGGGCTCTGGCTGGAGGTCCAGGTGGAGTTTGAGGAGCGGGGAGGGGGGGGGCGATGCCCAGAAGGAAACAAAAGAGGGGGAGGGGCAGAGAGACTGCAGGAGAGACTTGGCGTCAGTCAGACGGAAGGACACAAGGACAAAGAAGGGTGGAGAGAGACCAAGAAAGGAGGTGGGGACGCCCAGGGTGGGGTGGGGAGAGCGGCAGCCCGGCGTCCCAGTCCAGTCCAGTCCTCCGGCGCCCGGAGGCGTGCCCGTCTCGTGCCTGCAGATGCTGCTGCACCTCTTCAGCGATGCCAACTACAACCTGCTGGGCTTCAATGCGTCCTTCCGCTTCTCCCTGTGCCCCGGGGGCTGCGGCAGCCACGGGCAGTGCCGGGCCCCCGGGGAGTGCGCCTGCGAGCGCGGCTGGGGGGGCCCGGACTGCAGCCTGCAGGAGTGTCCCGCCTACTGCGGCAGCCATGGCACCTGCGCCTCGGTGAGCCTGTCCCCAGCTGTGTCGTGTGCCCCCCCCCCCCCCCCCCCCAGGTCTGTGACCACAGCTTCCGCTCCATCTGCCCCTGCCCCACTCCCGCCCGGGACCCTGCTGTCACCCTGTCGCCTACAGTGACACTCCCCTCTCCTCCCAGACCCTGACCCCGCCTGCCCTCCAGCCCCACCCCACCTTCATCTGCGGCCCCTCCTCTGCCTGAGCCCACTCCCCTCCTGCCTGTAACCTGCCTCCCGCCTGCAAACCCACCTGCCTTCCGCTTGCCGGCCCGACTCCATCCTCCCACCCAGCCGCTTTGTCTGGCCCTGACTTCGGACCGCTGACCACTGACCTTGGGCCTCCGCCTCGCACATCCGGCTGCAGGACTGGGTCACGTCTTGAGCCCTCCTGCCTTCACCTCCCCAGGCTGAGGTCGCCCGGCGCGGGCTGTCCTTGCCCTCGCCGCTGCCCTTCTCCAACCTCTCATGCTGTCTGTCTTCATTTTCCTCTCCGGGGCCTTCTGTCTTTCCCGTTCCCTTTTTTTGTTGGGCCGTCTGCTTTTTTCTACCTCTGCGTCTCCCTGGTTGTGTCTCGGTGTCCCGTTCTTCCTGCGTCTGTTGGCCTGTCTCCTTCCTGGCTGTACTCCATCTCTCCTTTCTAATCCATCTTTTCCCTTCTCCCTTTCTGTCCTCTTGTCTCACTCTGGCTTCCTCTCTCCTCCCCCTTCTCTCTTTTTTTCCTCTCTCCATCCCTGCCTTTGTGTGCCCGTCCCCCTCCAGCCCCTGGGACCGTGCCGCTGTGAGCCTGGCTTCCTGGGACACGCCTGTGACCTGCACCTGTGGGAGAACCAGGGGGCTGGCTGGTGGCACAACGTGAGTGCCGGGGACCCTGCCTTCTCGGCCCGGATCGGGGCGGCCGGTGCCTTCCTGTCCCCGCCGGGGCTACTGGCCGTTTTTGGAGGTGAGCTGACGGGGTGTGCGTCTGGGGTCCGGAGGCTTGGCAGCCTGTGGCCAGGACTTGAGCTGTCTGCCCCTCCACAGGCCAGGACCTCAACAGCGCCCTGGGGGACCTGGTCCTCTACAACTTCTCTGCCAACACCTGGGAGCGCTGGGACCTGAGTCCTACCCCGGTACGAATCCTCCCCAACCCCCCGCCCTGCTCGGGGGCGCCTGTGCACTCCGGCAGACCCAGCCAGGGCCCCCCGGAGCGACCCTACCAGCCCGTACGCCCCCAGCCCTGCCGCTTGATATGGGCCCACCTCCTCCTACTGATGCTACTTTTCTACCTCTGATTTTCTTTTTGCTTCCTCTATCTCCGTTTTTGCATCTTATCCTTCTGTGGATCTCCTGTCTCTTTCTCTTGGTTTCTCTCTCCATTTGTGTCTGCCTGTTGGTCTTCTGCTCTCTCTTGATCTCTGTGTCTCCCCTCTGGGCTGGCTGTCTGTCCGTCTCTCCCTCTGCTTTTCTCTGCCACCTCCCCTATCCCTGCCCCCCTGCCTCCTCCGCCTCCTTTTTTTTTTTTTTAATTTGTTTTTGTTCGCCTGTGTCTGTCTTGCTGGGTCTGTCTTCCTTTTTCTCTTTGTGTATCTCTGTCTGTCTTTCTCCGTGTCTCTCTCTGGCTGGCTTTCGTGTCACTCTGTGTCACCATCCTGTCTCCCGGTCTCTTACCCACAGGCTGCCCGGCACTCCCACGTGGCTGTGGCCTGGGCCGGCTCCCTGGTGCTCATGGGTGGCGAGCTGGCCAATGGCTCCCTCACCAGCGATGTGTGGGCCTTCAGCCCGCTGGGCGGGGGCCACTGGGAGCTCCTTGCGCCACCTGCCTCGGGTTCCTCGGGGCCACCAGGCCTGGCAGGTCACGCGGCCGCCCTGGTGGACGACGTCTGGCTCTATGTGTCTGGCGGCCGCACTCAGCACGACCTCTTCTCCTCCGGCCTCTTCCGTTTCCGCCTCGACGGCTCCAGCAGAGGCTACTGGGAGCAGGTGATTCCAGCAGGTGGGCGACCCCCTGCCGCCACTGGCCACTCCATGGTGTTCCACGCACCCTCGCGCACCCTACTGGTTCACGGTGGACACCGGCCCTCCACTGCCCGGTGAGTGACCTGCCCTGCAGGGCCAAGCCTGGCCCAGGCCCCTGGGTCTTCAGTTTTTAGTGGTCTTCGCCCACTGATAGACTTCTCCAGTCATCCAGGCCCTCCTTCCTTAGGTCATTCACTAGTTCATTCATTCTCTTACTTGCTCATCCACTCACTGACTCTCTAACCTTTCCTTCACTCTCTTGGCCACTTACTTCCCATGCGCTCTCGCCTCTCTGTCCACTCAGCCACGCCCTGCTTGGTGGCCAGCCCTGGCTAGATGAGGCACGGAATCCGGGGATGAGCCACTGGGAGACAAGTGGGGACATAAACCCCATCATGCCGGTCTCACCCTGACTGATCACATGACTCTTGAGAGCCCAGAGGAGGGAGAGAAGCCTTTCCTGCCCTGAGCCCCTCCTCTGCCCCTCCTGATAGGTTCTCTGTGCGGGTGAACTCCACCGAGCTCTTCCACGTGGATCGGCGCGTGTGGACCACCCTAAAGGGCCGGGATGGGCTTCAGGGCCCACGGGAGAGAGCCTTCCACACAGCCAGTGTCCTGGGCAACTACATGGTGGTCTATGGTGAGGAGGCTCCCTGATCCCGCCTGCCTGCCTTCTAGGGCCCCAGGCCCACACTGAGCTGAGGCTCCCTGCCTGGGTGTCCCCACCTCTGCCAGGCTTGCCAGCTGTGCCCCTTTCCTCCTTTCCAGGGGGCAACGTGCACACCCATTACCAGGAGGAAAAGTGCTATGAAGATGGTCTCTTCTTCTACCACCTCGGCTGCCATCAGTGGGTGTCGGGGGCTGAGCTTGCCCCCCCAGGAACCCCTGAGGGTGAGTGGCCCCTCTGTTTTCCTGAGGGGCTCCTGAGAGTCACACTTACCTGACAGTGAATATGGGCTTTAGGCGGGAGCCCCGTTGGTCCTCCTAGGGTGAGCCAGATGTCCTGTTAGAGCTGGCCTCCGGAGGCGAACCTGTGCGGGCGGAGGCAGGACGGGGCCGCTATTGCCATGGAGACGGGAGGCAGGTCCAGCAGCTCTGGTCTAGGCTCTAGTCCAGATTTTGCCAGTTTCCAGATGTCCCGGGGAATGACCTACACGTGACTTTTCCAGGGTCATAGAGTGCGCAAGTGGCAGAACCAGGATGGCCAGGACCCAACCAGCCATCTGTACAAAAATATCATTTAATCTCTCTGTGCCTCAACTTGCCCGTCTGTAAAACGGGGATGACAGTAATACTTAAACCACTGGCCTGTTTGTGAGAGTCGACTGAGATGGTGCAAAGAAAGAAGACCACCTAGCCAAGGGCTCAGTGTGTTGGCTTTCTGGTAGTGTCAGTATCCTGCCCGCAAGGGCCCGAGGGCCCGAGGGCTTGCCTGGATAGGAGTGCGGAGAAACCTTTCACACTCATTCAGTCAGACCGCTTAGAGAATCGGAAGGAAGCCATAGGCCCTCTGCTTGAAAAGACACTTGTACACGCAAATTGGGCCTATCATTTCAGGGGGCTGTGGACTTCCAGGAGGCCCATCTCTTCTCCCCGCCCCACCGGACAGGAGAGCGAGGACAGAGAACAGGCATAAGGAAGGGACATTGACATTTAAGGGGTAGGCTGGGCTAAGGGTTCCCCATGGAACCCTGTTTGACCGTTAGGCATAAAGCCTTGGCCTGGCATTTGAGGCTCTTCTGCCTGTCCCTATCTCTCCTTTAGGCCAGAGTGTGAGGTTTCTGGAGGTCTCTTCGTCTGTAGTTTGTGAGACCCCAGGCCAAGTCCCGTGTACTTACAGAGCATATGGGTCGGTAAGAGGGTGCGGGGTCACCAGTCACTGACCACTTACCCATCAGTCAGTACTCTTGGTTCTGAGTGACAGGATCCAACCCAACCAGCTTGAGCGAAACCGAGTTCTTTTTTTTTCAAGATTTTATTTATTTATTTGACAGAGAGAGACACAGTGAGAGAGGGAACACAAACAGGGGAAGTGGGAGAGGGAGAAACAGGCTTCCTGCCGAGCAGGGAACCTGATGTGGGGCTTGGTCCCAGGACCCTAGGACCATGACCTGAGCTGAAGGCAGATGCTTAACGACTGAGCCACCCAGGTGCCCTGCAAAACCGAGTTCTTGGCTCACTTGAGTGACAACTGGCTTCAGGCCGGCCCCGGGTCTGGGCGCTCACATGATGGCATCAGCTAGTTCTCACTCAAGTTCACTTCAGTCTGTGGCAGATTTGTCTTTTGCAAATGGTCACCAGCAGCCCTGGGCCTATATCCTACCCCTTTAAAATGCCCAGAGGGAGGAAGCACGTGCCTTTTCCCCAAAAATCATAGGAATTGGGTCCTGTTCCTAAACAAGTCACTGACCTGATGGGTCTGGGCTCAGCTTAGCTTGAGCCTGTGGACTCGTAGTGGGAGACGGTGGTGTTCCAGAGGAAGATCAGAGGCTATCCCCAGAAGGGAGGCTGGTGTACAGACAAAACCAGGTGAGAGCCAGGCGGCCTGCCTCATGGCTCCCCGAGGGCAGGAAGATGGTCCATTTATTGAGGATGAAACCAAGATTCAGAGAAGTTGAGTCTCTTTCCCAAGGCCACACAGCTACTCAGAACCCAAGTAAGTGGTAGACCTAGGAATCAAAGCCAGGTTGTTCTGACCCCGAAGATCATGCTCTTTTTTTTTTTTTTTTAAGATTTTATTTGTTTGAGAGAGAGAGAGAGAGAGAGAGCACGAGCAGGGTGGGGGGGGGCAGAAGGAGAAGCAGGCTTCCTGCTGAGCAGAGAGCCCGATGTGGGGCTCAATCCCAGGACTCTGGGATCATGACCCGAGCCGAAGGCAGACGCTTAACCAACTGAGCCACCCAGGCGCTCCATCATGCTCTGTCTTTTAAAGATGGTTTGGTCAGTGGTGTGGGAGCTCTGGCAGGTGCAGGGCCGGGCAGCCTAGGAGGGTTTCCTTGGGTGCGTTCAGTTGAAGCAGGAAGTAGGAGGCTGGACTGAGGCATAGGTGAGTCGGGATAGTCCTTTGGGCAAGGGAGCCGTGAGCATGGGAGGGGAGACTGGTTGGAGTCTCATGTCCTTGGGTTGGGGGGTGTCTGTATTCTCCTAGGCCGAGCAGCGCCTCCCAGTGGCCGATACTCACATGTGGCGGCTGTGCTTGGCGGCAGTGTCCTGTTGGTGGCTGGGGGGTACAGTGGCCGGCCCCGTGGGGACTTGATGGCCTACAAGGTGCCTCCCTTTGTGTTCCAGGCGCCTGCTCCAGACGTGAGCACTGGGGTGATAGGGAGAGGGTGGCTGGGGAGGAGGTAGCATGGTTCCCATGGAGGCGGGAGCAAGTTGGGGTGGGTCCCTGGGAGAAGGGCTGGGGGTCCCTAGGGATATGAGGGGAAGGCGGTTGGTCCCCAGGTTCAAGTGGGGAGGACTGGAGGTCCCTGGGGCTGAGGGCAGAGTGGCTAGGGGTCCTTAAGGTGTCGAGCAGTTGAGGGTCCCCGGGATCATCAAAGTGGTGGGCATGAGGGAACAGGCTCGAGGTCTGAGGAGCACCCCCCTCCATCTCCCTGCAGTACCACTTAGACTATTGCTCCATGTACACGGACCATAGCGTCTGTTCGCGAGACCCGGAATGCAGTTGGTGTCAGGGAGCCTGCCAAGCTGCACCACCTCCTGGGACTCCCCCTGGGGCCGTGAGTGACTGTCCTAGCGCTCTGTCTCCTAGCATGTGTCTCCCTCTGTTGAAACTAAGTAGAGAAGGACCTCCTCCCACTTGGGAGACTTGTTTTCACACCGAAGATTGGCACTCCTGCCGGCTGACCCCTTGGCCCCTCCCGATCCTTTTGAACTTACAACCCTGTCCCCAGACCCCCTAGCTCCTGCCCTCTCGATCTTCCTCAGTCCAACTGGCCTTCAGTTCCCTTCTCCGATTTCCTGACCCTTTCCACCCTGTGACTCCCGAATCTACAGCACTTCCTAGGTCCGTTGCGCCCCCGTGGACAGTAACCCCTGTCCCCTCCCCTCCCTGCAGTGTCCAGCTGCCAGCTGCCTGGGACTGGGCCGCCTTCTGGGTGACTGCCAGGCCTGCCTGGCCTTCAGCAGCCCCACAGCTCCTCCCCGGGGGCCCGGCGCCCTGGGCTGGTGTGTGCATAATGAGAGCTGCCTCCCCCGCCCTGGTGAGTGTGCAGGGGCGGTGTGGGAGGGGGCGGCACAGCGCCCCGCACTGACCTCTATTCCCCCCACCCTCCTGTCCTCACAGAGCAGACCCGCTGCCGAGGGGAGCAGATCTCAGGCACCGTGGGCTGGTGGGGGCCTGCGCCTGTCTTTGTCACATCCCTGGAGGCCTGTGTCACCCAGAGCTTCCTGCCTGGCCTGCACCTGCTCACTTTCCAGCAGCCGCCCAATGCCTCCCAGCCCGACAAGGTGGGGAGCCAGGGGATGGGGCCTGGTGTGTGGTCCCAGGGTTTTCATTTGTCAAATGGTTCTATACCACTCTTGTGGTTGCCTAATAAGCCTTTACAGTCAAGAGTCTGATTTTACTTATTGACCTCTAAAGATTTTTTTTTTAAGATTTTATTTATTTGAGAGAGCAAGAATGAGAGAGAGAGAGAGCACATGAGGGGGGGAGGGTCAGAGGGAGAAGCAGACTCCCTGCTCAGCAGGGAGCCCGATGTGGGACTCGATCGCGGGACTCCAGGATCGTGACCTGAGCCGAAGGCAGTCGCTCAACCAGCTGAACCACCGAGGCGCCCAACCTCTAAAGATTTTTTTAAATTGTGCTAAAACACACATCGTGTAAAATTTACCATCAGTGATATGAAGCACGTTCACAACGTTGCACAACCATCACCACCTAGTTCCAGAAAGACACTCCAGATCCATTAAGTAATCCCTCTCTGTTCCCCCTCTCCCTTTGGCCCCTGGCAACCACTAACCTTTTAGTGGTTAGTGGTTGGCAATCTGCTAACTATGGATTTGCCGACTCTGGGTATGTCATATAAATGGAATCCTATATGTTGTATTTTGTATGCGGCTTCTTTCACTTAGAGTAATGTTTTCAAGGTCCATCCATGTTGTAGCATGTCTTAGAACTTCATTCCTTTTTACGGCTGAGCAATATTCTCTTGTGTGGCCGTGCCGCATCCGTTCATCAGCGGATGGACATTCAGGGTGTTGATACTTATTGGCTATCCTGAACAGTGCTGCCGTGAGCATTCCCTGTATAAGCCGCTGTTTGAGTACCTATTTTCTTTTAAAAATTATTTTCCTTTATTTTTTTTCAATTGAGGCATAATTGACATACAATATGTTAGTTTCAAGTATATAAGGTAATGATTTGAAATGTGTATATATTGCAACAAACACCTATTTTCAACCCTCTTTGGGTATATATCTAGGAGCGGAATTGCTGGGTCATATTGTGATTCAATATTTAGCTTATCGAAGAATCACCAAACTGTTTTCCCCGGTGGATTCTTACTGATTTTGATTTTTTTTTAAAGATTTTATTTATTGGGGTGCCTGGATGGCTCAGTCGTTTGAGCATCTGCCTTCGGCTCAGGTCATGATCTCAGGGTCCTGGGATCAAGCCCCGCATCAGGCTCCCTGCTCCACGGGAAGCCTGCTTCTCCCTCTCTCACTCCCCCTGTATCTCTCTCTGTCAAATAAATAAAATCTTAAAAAAAAAGATTTTATCTATTTATTTGACAGAGAGAGACAGTGAGAGAGGGAACACAAGCAGGGGTCGAGTCCCGCATCAGGCTCCTTGCTCAGTGGGGAGCAAGTGTGGGAAGCCTTCTCAGTGTGGGAAGCTGTCCCAGCACCCCCTCAATTCGACGCCACCCCGACTCTTCCCAGAAGATCAGTTGGGATTTCTTTTTTTTTTTTTTTTTTTTTTAAGATTTTATTTATTTGACAGAGAGAGACACAGCGAGAGAGGGAACACAAGCAGGGGGAGGCTTCCTGTGGAGCAGGGAGCCCAGTGCGGGGCTCGATCCCAGGACCCTGGGATCATGACCTAAGCCGAAGGCAGACGCTTAATGACTGAGCCACCCAGGCACCCCTCAATTGGGATTTCTTATGTATCCTTGCAGGGCTACCCATTCACGTACACCTTAAATGTGACATTTAATTATTTTTCTTTCTTGCACAAAAAGTAATATTCTAGTCACACTACACTGCCACTTTTATTTCTTAGAACATATCCTAGCAAGCTTCTTAGAACTTAGGAAATACCCTCTCTTTTTCTTTTTTTTACAGTTTTGTAATATTCCATTTAGATTCTAGGGCTGTGGTGCTATAGTTTATTTAGGTAATCTCCCGCTGATGAATACTTGGGTTATTCCATTCTTTTGTAATTACAGAACGCGCGCTAATAAATCATGTAGCGTGTCTGTCACTTTGAATGTTGGATCTGTACGCTCTCTCTCTCTCTCTTTTTTTTTTTTAAATCGTGTATTGGTTTATTATATAACCGAAAACACGTTACATAGGGTGAGGTCCAGAAGGGTCATGAGCAAAGGAGCTCTGTCCCCGTAGAGCTGGGATGTGACCCCTGCTGGCACGGGGCTGTGTTCACTAACTTGGAAATTTCTCCGAACCCTGTAGTTCAGGGACCTTTTTAAAAAAGCGTGGGCTCTTAAGGGCTTGGTGGAAAGTGGAAGGGTGGGATGTTGGAGAAGAAGTTCGCAAAAGGTCTGGGGTCCTGGAGTTTCATGAGAGAGGTGCTGAGTCGGGGCCGGGACCCTGCTGTCTATTGTCTGAGTTGGAGTCCCAATGCAGAGTGCCCCTGGCCTCGGTCTCTCGTTTGATGAGAGAGGGAAGGAGGTTGGGGTGCCTGATCTTTTCTAGTTCTAGTGTTTGCCTGAGGGGTGGGGCCCCTGTGGGGCCATGCACAGAAGTGCTCACGCATACCCTCCTCCGTGGCTTGCCCAGGTCTTGATTGTCCGCAGTACGACCATCACTCTGACGCCCAGCCCGGAGACCGACGTGTCCCTGGTCTACCGTGGCTTCATCCATCCGCTACTGCCTGGAGGGCCCGGAGGGGCGGGGGCTGAGGATGTAGCTGTGTGGGCCCGAGCCCAGCGTCTACATGTCCTAGCCCGGATGGCCCGGGGCCCTGACACGGAGAACATGGTGAGGGTGCCTGAACACACAGGGGGCTGTTAGTTATAAATGTGGGGGCTGGGGTGTATGGTGCAGGGGAGGACTGGGGAGAAATCAGAAGCACAGGATATATCCTTAGTGGAGGGAGGGCCCTGGGGTTTTCAGTTATGAATGGAATTGGGGGGGCATTTTGAAGAAGGTGGGGAGGGTCTGAGTTACCAAGTCAAACTCCCCCTGAGGAGGAGGTGGGTGGTGGTGGGGGGGTTGTTGAGGGTTCTCAGAGGTTCTTGGGGTCTAACGAACTCTGAGGCCCTCTTCCTCTTCCCAGGACAGGGGTAAGTGCTAGGTGGGTTTGGGGTTCTTGGAGGTTTCAGGGGTTGGGGTGGCTGGAATGTTCTCAAGCCCCTGTCTCTCCCTCACCCGTACCCAGGAGGAGGTGGGGCGCTGGGTGGCTCAGCAGGAGAAGGAGACGAGGCGGCTACAGCGCCCAGGGTCTGCTCGCCTCTTCCCACTGCCTGGCCGGGGCCACAAGTATGCGGTGGAGATCCAGGGCCAGCTCAATGGCTCGGCGGGCCCCGGGCACAGCGAACTTACCCTGCTGTGGGACCGGACTGGTGTGCCAGGTGGCAGCGTGAGTACCCAGGCCCTGGCCTCAGATCCCCGGAGCTTTCCGAACCCCAGACCACAAATTCTAATTCTCTTGACCTGACCTCCCGCTCCCCCACCGACTCTTGAACTCTGGGCCTCACTTTGAGCCCTCCAGACCCCAACCTCTGACCCCCAGACTCTGACCCGATCTCACATTCTGACCCCCTGCCTACATCTCTGACTTCTCCTGCCCTGGCCTGACTTCCGCCCTCTGTATTTGGCTCTCTCCTCTCTAGATGCTCTCAAACCCCGATCCCCTTTTGTCTGCTCCTCCTAAATCCTGGCTTTCCACATGCTTGGGGTCTTAACCTTGTCTCCAAACACGTCCTTAGCGCCAAACCCTGACCCCTGCCCCCAACCTCCACTCCTGCCCTGGGACTTGGCTTGTGAACCCCCGGCCCTCACGTGAGCCCTTCCCCCAGGAGATCTCCTTCTTCTTCCTGGAGCCCTACCGCTCGTCAGCTTGCTCCTCCTACTCCTCCTGCCTGGGCTGCTTGGCGGACCAGGGCTGCGGCTGGTGCCTGACCAGCGCCACCTGCCACCTGCGCCAGGGCGGGGCCCACTGCGGGGCCGACGGGGCCGGCGGGGCCCTGCTGGTGCTGGTGCCTGCCCTCTGCCCGCTCTGCGAGGAACACCGCGACTGTCACGCCTGCACTCAGGTGCCTGCCAAGCCACAGAGGGGAGGTCTCAAGATTAAGGCAGCCGAATCAGGCAACTGGGAAAGGGGGAGGGCCCCCTGGAGTTGGCCGGGCATCCGAGGGGTCCCCTGGGTGCAGTGGGGGGAGACAGGTGGGGCCGTTGTCCTTGATCTGCAGGTGAGAGCCAGGTGGGGAGCAGGGGAGAGGGGCTGGAGAGTGGGCCCCTGGCAGTCAGGACTCTCCCTGTTGTAAGGGCCAGAAAACCCAACTTAGCACCTCTTTACCAGAGGGGCATTTGTGGACTCTGGCACCAGAGCCCGGGAAGAGGTCTTTAGGCCTGTGGTTTAGACCGTGTGGTCAGCCGCCCCTCCCCCTCTATCCCATACCCTCACTTCCCTGGAGGTTCATTCCCTGGGAGTGGCAGGGGAGCCACGAGGGCTCTGGAATTTCATCTCCCCCACTCGGCCCCCCGAGGCCCAAGTGGAAGAGAGCACCTTTCTGTCCCCACCCCACTCTCACCCCCGGTTCAACTGAAGTCCCAGAAGCACGTTTCGTTGGCTCTGGTTGGGTCTTGTGCCGACTCTCAGAGCCGTCTGCGAGGCTAGCGGGGAGGGAGTGTGGCCTCTTGCCCACCTCTGGAGCTGAAGGATCCACCAGCCCCAACCGGACCAGACATAGGGGTTCTTTTGCCCCAAAAGGGAGTGGGTGCCGGAAAGGCGGATCCCATGGATGCCATTGGCTGAAGGAGAAAGTCTAGAGAGGCAGGCAGCTGGGGAGGGAGGGGGGCTTGGAGGGGTGGTCTGTGGGGTGGGGCAGGTGAGGGAGGTAGCTACTTGTGGAGCCCAAGGTAGATGGCCATCTGGGCTCTTATTCCTTCTTTAATTCCCCAGGACCCCTTCTGCGAGTGGCATCAGAGCTCCAGCCGCAAAGGGGACGCCGCGTGCAGCCGGCGGGGCCGGAGTCGGGGTGCCCTGAAGAGCCCAGACGAGTGTCCCCCACTCTGCAGCCAGTGAGCCTCCTGGGCCCAGGGGGAGGGGATGTAGGGGGCGTGTGGGGGCCGCTGCCCGGTCTGACCCTGCCCCTGCTCCCCGCCCCCAGGCGCCTGACCTGTGACGACTGCCTGGCCAACTCCAGCCAGTGTGCCTGGTGCCAGTCCACGCACACCTGCTTCCTGTTTGCGGCCTACCTGGCCCGCTACCCGCACGGGGGCTGCCGTGGCTGGGACGACAGGTGCGGTCTGGGCCGCGGGGCGGGGCCCACAGAAGGGAGGGCGCGGACCCCCCAACCCACGCCCGTCGCCCCGCAGCGTGCACTCGGAGCCTCGGTGCCGGAGCTGCGACCGCTTCCTGACCTGCCACGAGTGTCTGCAGAGCCACGAGTGCGGCTGGTGTGGCAATGAAGACAACCCTACGCTGGGCCGGTGAGGCCGGGAGGCAGGACTGCGAGGCCGGAGGGCGGGCGGGGCGCGGGGCTCTCGCCCGCCCTGATTCTAACGGCGGATTGTGTCTGTGTGTTTCTTCCCTTCCCCTCTCCGTTTCCCTCTCCCCCCTGTCTCTGTGACCGGTTTCTTCTCATCTTTCCTCCTTGTCTTTCTGTCTTTCCTTCTCTCTCCCTTTCGCCGTTTCCCTGTGCGTCTCCTGTCTGACTCCTCTGGGTTTCTCTGTCTCTCCTTCGTTTCTCCTCATGTCCTTCTCCGTGTTCATGTTCCCGTGTCTCTCTTTCCCTCTCTCCCTGTCTCCATCTCGGTCTCTCGTTTGTTTATCATCTCCTCCTTCCCACCCCTCCTCCCTTTCCCGCCCCCCCCAGGTGCCTCCAGGGGGACTTCTCGGGGCCGCTGGGTGGGGGGAACTGCTCCCTGTGGGTGGGGGAGGGCCTGGGGCTATCTGTGGCCCTCCCTGCCCGCTGGGCGTATGCCCGCTGTCCCGACGTGGATGAGTGTCGCCTGGGCCTGGCGCGGTGCCACCTGCGGGCAACCTGCCTGAACACACCCCTCAGCTATGAGTGTCACTGCCAGCGAGGCTACCAGGGCGATGGCATCACCTACTGCAACCGCACGTGAGCGGGGGGCTTGGTTTCCATGGAGATGTGGCCCGGGGCTGGGGTACGTGGAGATGGAGGGAGGAAGCCGGGGAGGTGCTGGGGTGCCTCCCGGGGAACCAGCATCCCCAGTGAGCCTGGGGTTTTCACCTTGCAGGGTAGGCCCTCGTTAGAGTGACAGGGTCCCCCAGTGTAACACTAGTTACTGTGGAGACGGGTCACCCCGGGACTGCGGCCCATAGTCTTCAGCGTTGCCATGGAGGTGGAGGAGGACCCATTTGAAAGGGGTTTTCACAGAGAGCAGATCACCAGTGATGATATGTGGTTACCATAGAGACAGGAGTTACCATGTGTGGTTTAGTTACCTTGGAGACAGGGCCGCCCACAGAGTCCAGGACGAGGAACCACAGTGGCCAGGGATGGCGTTGCCGTGGAGACGAGGCGGTGGACTGGGGCCGGGGCGGGGTGGGGGGGGGGGGGGGGGGGGGGGGGAAGGGATGGGGGGTGTGCCTTGGGGGCTCCGGGCCCCGCCCAGCCCTTCCCCACCGCCCCCCACCACGCCCTCAGGTGCCTGGAAGACTGTGGCCACGGTGTGTGCAGCGGTCCCCCCGACTTCACCTGCGTATGTGACCTGGGCTGGACGTCTGACCTGCCCCCGCCCACGCCCGCCCCGGGACCCCCGGCGCCCCGCTGCTCCCGGGACTGTGGCTGCAACTTCCACAGCCACTGCCGCAGGCGGGGGCCTGGCTTCTGTGATGAGTGCCAGGGTGAGCGGCCTCAGGGACCCTCCCCGGGGCTCCAGTGTCCTTCCTCTGCCTGGGCGTCTGGGTCCCCTCACCCAGCTAGGGGTCCCCCTGCCCCATGGCCTGCTCCCGACCCCACACGGCTTCAGTGCCACCCATCTCTTTGGTGGGGGCTTGGGCCCCTCTGGGGGGGCTTGCAGTGCCTCCCCGGTCTGGGTTTCCCTGGTCACCTTTCTCTGGAGCAGCCGCGTGGGGCCAGGGATCGGCCAAGCATTGTGGGGCTCCTCCTGCCCTTGCCCTGACTCTGTGTCCTGCCTGCCGGGGCCTCCACAGACTGGACATGGGGGGAGCGCTGCGAGCGTTGCCGGCCCGGCAGCTTTGGCAACGCCACGGGCTCAGGCGGCTGCCGGCCCTGCCAGTGCAACGGGCACGGGGACCCGCGCCATGGCCACTGTGACAACCTCAGCGGGCTCTGCTTCTGCCAGGACCACACCGAAGGTGCCCACTGCCAGCTCTGCTCCCCTGGCTACTACGGGGACCCTCGGTGAGACGAGCCCGCCGGGAGGGCCAGGGCGGGGTTAGGGACCAGATGGGACAGGGCGGGGCCTGGTCTGACGCTCTTGCTCATCTCCCTCCATCTCCCCAGGGCCGGTGGCTCCTGTTTCCGGGAGTGTGGGGGTCGCACCCTCCTCACCAATGTGTCCTCAGTGGCGCTGGGCTCACGCCGGGTCGGGGGGCCGCTGCCTCCAGGGGGTGGGGCAGCAAGAGCCGGGCCAGGCCTCTCCTACTGTGTGTGGGTTGTCTCGGCCACTGAGGTGCTCCAGCCCTGTGCCCCCGGGACCCTCTGTCCCCCGCTCACCCTCACCTTCTCCCCTGACAGCAGCACGCCCTGCACGGTGAGTACCCAGGGTGCCAGAGTTCAGGCCCGTGTCTCCCCCAACCCAGTCTGAATCCGCAGACGGACCCTGACCCCGCCTCCCTGTTCCTTTATCCTCCAAACCCTAAGCTCTCTTCCTCAGACTGCAGACCTTCATTCCGAAGCCCCCCCAGACCCTCCCATTCCCCTGATCACCTCCTATTTCCTGGGCTCCCCACTCCCTGGTCTAGGCATGGTTAATATTTGTACTTTGTGCCAACTCCGACCAGTAGGTAGTGGCCGCCAGGAGCTGTGTATTGAGAAAGAGCCTCCGTGCAAGAGTGCCTGATCCATGCGCCATGTCTGCTGCGCACACAGGAGGGGAATGGTGGCCACAGTTTGTCTGTCCAGAAGTCTCCCGGGCTCAGATTGCCCTCCCCTCTTGAGCTCCTCCTCCTCCCAGACCTCCCGCGTCCCTCTTTCTCACCCTTGCCTTCCGTCCCCTGATCCTTCACTCTGCATCCTCCGCCTCCAGCTGAGCTACGTCCTGGCCTTTGATGGATTCCCGCGCTTCCTGGACACTGGTGTCGTCCAGTCGGACCGCAGCCTCATCGCTGCATTCTGTGGCCTGCGACGGGACAGGCCCCTCACTGTGCAGGCCCTGTCTGGTACGGGGACTGGGCAAAGTGGGACCCTGTCGGAGGCTGTGTAGCCCTTGCCCCTTACGCTGTTCCCCCCCCCGCCCTCCCCCCCAGCTCTGGGGCGGGGGATCAAGACCCAGCCCGACTCTGCCCCTGACGTGCCAGCTGATGCCGTCCCTTGTTACATCTGGGCCTCCGTTTTCTCAGTTGAGGGGCTGGTAGAGAGGTTTGTCCTGGCTGGACGGCCTCTCTGGAGGGCAGGGCCGAGTGGGACAAGTCTCTGGGAGACACAGAGTGTGGCTGGTGTGGAGGCCCCCTGCCCATCTCCTCAGCCTGGTGGTTCTCCACCAGGGGGGTTTTGCCCCTTGGGCCCTCTGGCTCTGTCCTGAGTGCTCCTGGCATGTCACGGGTGGGGGCCAGAGATGCCGCTCTGCATTCTGCAGTGCACCGGACAGCCCACAACCAAGGCCCTGTTACATCAGCAGTGCTGAGAGTTTGGGAACCGGCTCCGTCTGATCGAGTAGCACTAAAAGTAATTTGTCACCTGTGGCAGTTGAAGGACCCTAGTTTGAACCATCGTAGATCGGCGAGATCTCCAAGGCTGGGAGAGAGGGCAGAGGGGTAGTTGGCCCGCTGGGGGTTGCACTCAAGCCCAAACCCCTCCCCAGGGATCAGCTAGAACCGAGGGGCCCTCGATTTCATTTCACTCAGCCGTTGTGTACCGAGCACCTTCAGTGAGCCACGCCTGAGCTGGGTGCTGGGGATCCAGCAGGGAGCAAGGGGACGCAGGCCCTGCCTTCGGGGACCCACGGCGGGGGGCAGGGGGACACACACAGCACTGAACAAATTCTAGTCAGAATAGTGACACCTTTGCCAAGGGGCAGAGGAAGTGGGAAGGAGCAGGCACCTGGCCTGTCTGGGGAGTTGGGGAGGGCTTCTTCACCGAGGTGAGATTTCACTGGAGCCGTGAAGGGGATGTGTGGGCGAGGGAGGAGGGCGGCTTCTCCAGGCCCGAAGAGCAGCAGGTACCCAGGCCCTGAGAGGCCGGAAGGGGCCTGCAGTGCTAGAGTGCTTAGGGCTGGGACAGTGGGGGCCTTGAAGTCAGAGGGCCTACGGCCACTCCCCACACCCCCCCCTGCTTTAACATAATTTTATTGAGGCACTGTTTACGTATCCTATATCTAATCCCTGCCCCCCCCCCCCCCACTAATCGGTTTTGTAAGGAGACCCGGTTTTATGCCAGAGCTGTAGGGAGCCGTGCAGAGTTTGGAGCTTGCCAGTGACGGGACTGGGATCGGAATTTGACGGGTTGGATGAGGGGGAGGGTGTGCAGCGTGCAGAACAGTGGAGCATGGCAGTGATCACACATGATGAGAGCCTTGTCGCCCTGGCCAGTGACACCGGATTTTCTCTAACCCTGGGGGTAGAGTAATGTCCTGGAGCCCCGCCCGGCCACGAGCCTCTGGCCCCTCTCCCCCCACAGGGCTGCTGGTGCTGCACTGGGAAGCCAACGGCTCCTCGTCGTGGGGCTTCAATGCTTCAGTGGGTTCTGCCCGCTGCGGGTCGGGGGGCCCCGGGAGCTGCCCGGTCCCCCAGGAGTGTGTGCCCCAGGATGGAGCCGCAGGTGCTGGACTCTGCCGATGTCCCCAGGGCTGGGCTGGCCCCCACTGCCGCATGGCTCTGTGTCCTGAGAACTGTAATGCTCACAGTGGGGCAGGGACTTGCAACCAGGTATGGGGGGGGGGAACGGGCAAGCCACATGGGACAGGGGTGGTGATCTGGCTTCCCCTGAGCCTCCTTCTTCTGTTCCCCAGAGCCTCGGTGTATGCATCTGTGCCGAGGGCTTCGGGGGCCCTGACTGCGCCACGAAGCTGGACGGCGGGCAGCTGGTCTGGGAGACCCTCATGGACAGCCGCCTCTCAGCCGTGAGTCGTGGATGCCACTCTGTCCATGGAGGTGCCACGCAGCCCGCCTCCTGGATGGTTCTCCCCTCCCTGCATTTCTGGGACCACCCCTCAGCCCTGACTCCCAGCCTGACCCCTCGGGTCCTCACCTCCACCCCCAGGACACTGCCAGCCGATTCCTACACCGCCTGGGTCACACCATGGTGGAGGGACCTGATGCCACCTTGTGGATGTTTGGCGGCCTCGGCCTGCCCCAGGGGCTGCTGGGGAACCTGTACAGGTGAGGACTGTCTCCCGGAGGTGGGATGCCCGAGTGAGAGGAGGTCACGACCTCAGGAGATGCTGAGATGTGTGTCACATAAGAGTCCCTTTGGGGGTTAAAAAAAAAAAAAAAACTGGCGTAAAAAACCCTCTAGAGATGCCTGGGTGGTTCAGTCGGTTAAGCGTCTCCCTTCGGCTCAGGTCATGGTCCCGGGGTCCTGGGATGGAGCCCCAGGGTCCCCTGCTCAGCAGGGAGTCTGCTTCTCCCTCTCCCTCTGCCCCTCCCCCTGCTCGTGCTCTCTCTCATTCTCTCATGTGCTCTCTCTTTCTCAAATAAATAAATAAAATATTTTAAAAACAACAACAAAAACCTCTATAGGTGAAGGACACCAAAAAGATACTGGGACACTTGTCACAGGAGGCTCGCTTTGGGGTCTGGGATACTTATTTGGGTGGTGCTACCCCAGGGGGGATGGTAAGATGGTTGTCAAAGGAGGGGTGCCCTAGGGGATTTGGGGATAACTGTGCAGGGGGGTCACCCCAGGTCATGCTGGGATGCCTGTATGGTGAGACTCCTTTTCTGCAACCTTGGTGCCAGGTACTCAGTGAGTGAGCGGCGGTGGACACAGATGCTGGCGGGAGCCGAGGATGGGGGCCCAGGCCCCTCACCCCGCTCCTTCCATGCGGCTGCCTACGTGTCCGCTGGCCGTGGTGCCATGTACCTTCTGGGGGGACTCACAGCTGGGGGTGTCACTCGCGACTTTTGGGTCCTCAACCTCACCACCCTGCAGTGGCGGCAGGAGAAGGTGAGCCCCTCTCCCTTCCCGCGGCCCTGCTAGACATGATCCATGTCTAGCAGGGCCAGCCAGAGGGCCTCCTGCCCGTTTCACCCCCAGGGGATGCAGCTTCTCCCCACTCCCCACCGGGGCTCCAGTATGAGTCCCAGAGTTGAATCTCAGCCATCCTGGGTCACATTGTAGTCCCGAGCGAGCCTGTGGCCAAGTGGGTGGGGTAGTCTTGTCCGCTTGGCTGGGATGCACGCACTGTGGGTGGGTACAGTCAGCCCCACGTGGCCAGAGTGAGAGCACAAGGGCCAGGGCTTCCCAGAAGAACACCAGGCTGCCCCCACCCGCATCGGTGACACTGAGCAGGCAGAAATGGCAAGGGGCCTCCCACACACCTGCTGGGACCGTGGCAGGTTGGAAGCTTGGGGTCTGACCAGCCCCGGGCAGCTCACTACCTCCTTACCTGGTTCAAGGGGAGTGTCCGGAGTTCCGAGTCTTGCTTCTACCTGGAAGATGACCCCTAACCTCCAGCTCCCTGCTGACCTCTGCCCTTTATCCCCTAGGTGCCCCAGACCGTGGAGCTCCCGGCAGTGGCTGGTCACACCCTCACTGCCCGCCGAGGCCTGTCTCTGCTCCTGGTGGGCGGGTACTCCCCCGAAAATGGCTTCAACCAGCAGCTGTTCGAGTACCAGCTGGTGACTGGCACCTGGGTGTCTGGAGCCCAGAGCGGGACACCCCCCACCGGTAGGGCTGGGGATAAGTCAGGGACAGCACCTTGGACGCCTGGCCATCCGGGGCTTTGTGGAGGCTCTCTGTCCACTGCCGTTACCCGGTGGTCACTGCCCTTAGACCTTGTTATGTCCCTGTCTTCCCCCCCCCCCACGCCCACCCAGATTCGCAGACCCGCTCTTGAGAAGTTCAGTTCCCCATGAAAGGCTACCCACCTCCTGCCCAGTGACAGTGGGTCATTGCGTTCCTCTCCCGGGTCCTGGGTTCCTTTCCCTCAGGCATTCCCCTTCTCCGTTCTTTGCTCATTGTCCCCCCAGGACATGCAGGTCACTCCGACTCCCCCTCTTCTCTTGCCCGGAGTCAGTAGAGGTGGTCCTTTGGCACCGAAGCGGGAGGGAGGGGTTGACAAGAGCTCCTCGGTGGCGTGGTCCCAAGAAGGGGAGCCCAGGAAGGTGTGAGGGCACTCCTAATCACCAGCCCTCCCCCCAGCGTCTGCTCCTTCCTGCCCCCCCAGGTCTCTACGGTCATTCTGCCGTGTACCACGAGGCCACTGACTCCCTCTACGTGTTTGGGGGTTTCCGCTTCCACGTCGAGCTGGCAGCCCCCTCCTCTGAGCTCTATTCCCTGCACTGTCCTGACCGCACCTGGAGCCTGCTGGCCCCTTCGCAGGGGGCAAAGGTCAGGAAAAGAGGTGTACACAGTTAGATCCAGGGGGCAGGAAGGAGGGAGTCCCCCCTTACCCGGCACCCCAGGGACTGGCTCAGCCCTGGACTCCTGGTCCCCTCCTTTCTAGTCCCCTAGACTCAACTGTGGCGCCCCACACATCTCCCCTTCTTTCACTGCTCGCTTGGAGGGAAGCATCCTAGACGAGGAGGTCAGAGGCCTGGGTTCTGCCCCAGCTCTGTCCCACTCTTGGCATGGCCCTCAACTTCCCAGCCTCCCCATCTGTAAAACCTGGGACTGAGGCTCCTTGGGCCTCCCGCCTTCAAGGCCAAAGGAGATAGTGGATGGGAGTACGTGGACTCCGGATGTGCTGGTTAGAGACGATTGAGTTTTCCATCTGCAAACATATCTCCAAGCCCTTTTGGGGACCGGACTGTAGGGGAGGCCCAAGCCTCACCCCAGGATGCCCCCAGCCAAGCTGGCCAGGTCACAGGAGAAATGTGGGATTCATCTCAGGCAGCCTGGGCCAGGTTCCTGGGGAACGGCACAGGGCATGGGGGTTCTGGGAGTTCAGGGAAGGGAGCTGGCCCTGGGGGCTGCTCTGAAGAATGAGGGAGGTCTCCTGGACGAAGGAGCTGAGATTTGAGGGAGATTAGGGTTGGGTAGGGCTGGTGGGGGCTGAGGTGTGGGAGGGTGCAGGGTGGCGGGTGGGCTGAGAGGCAAGCGGAGGAGTGTGGGCTCTGACCGGCCATCCTGCGGGTGTCTCCCCAACAGCCCCGCCCCCGGCTTTTCCACGCCTCAGCCCTGCTGGGGGACACCATGGTGGTCCTTGGGGGGCGCTCGGACCCCGATGAGTTCAGCAGCGACGTTCTGCTCTACCAGGTCAACTGCAATGCCTGGCTCCTGCCCGACCTGACCCGTAAGTCCAGTGCTTCCCCTGGGAGGCCCTGGGGACATCCTGCAGGAGCCCTGGCCTGTCCTGGGTCGCTCACTCATCCGGACTCCCTCAGGCCCCTACAGACCCTCCGGCAAAGCTGCTTTCCCCTCTGTTACCTGAACACCCATGAACACGCCCGCCTTCCTTTTCTTTTCCTAGAAAGTTTATTTTTTGTCCTGATTATAAAAGTAATAATATTCGCTATATGTAATTGGTGAAATAAGAAGGAAAAAATCCCCCATGATCCTGCTCTCTAGAGACAGCACTATTATACGTGGGGGTGTTTCTTTCCAGTCTGCTGTTCGGAGGCCGGAAAGGGGCTTGGACCTTGTCTTTCTGTTTCACTTCCCAGTGTGACTGTGTATGCCTCTGGGGCTTTTCCTTTTGCGTCTCTCTCGTACTCTCTGTCTCTAATTCCCTTTTGCCCTTATCTTGTTTGCTACTCTGTGACTTTCTCTTTTTTTTCCCTGGAGGATTTTTTTTTTAATTTTTAATTTTTCAAAAGATTTTATTTATTTATTTGAAAGAGAAAGAGAGAGAGAGAGAGCACAGCAGGGGAGGGACAGAGGGAGAAGCAGACTCCCCACAGCGGGGAGCCCGATGTGGGACTTGATCCCAGGACCCTGGGATCATGACCTGAGCTGAAGGCAGACGCTTAACTGACTGAGCCAGCCAGGCGTCCCTCTTCCTGGAGGATTTAAAAAAACTTGAGGTGAAATTCACATAAGAAAATGAACCCTTGTGAAATTAACGATGCAGTGGCACCTGGTACCTTCAGGAGGTTGTGCAACGAGCACCTGTGGTTCCAAAAGCTTTGTCTCCATCCTTATTCCATTCTTTCTGCTTCCTTTTCCTGTTTATCTCTCCCTCTCTTTTGCTGTCCTTGTCGATTCTCTTGCCCTGTATGGCCTTACGTATCTTCTCTGTCCATGTCCGTCTCTGCCGTCCTTAGCCCGTCGCTCTGCTCGGCATCCCTCTCTGACCGGCCTCTTCATGGGGCTCTCTTCCCTGAGTCTCTGAATGTTCTGTCTTTCCCCAGGCCCAGCCTCTGTGGGGGCCCCGATGGAGGAGTCTGTGGCCCATGCTGTGGCGGCGGTAGGGGGCCGCCTGTACCTCTCAGGGGGCTTCGGGGGAGTGGCCCTGGGCCGCCTGCTGGCCCTGACCCTGCCCCCTGACCCCTGCCGCCTGCTACCCTCACCCGAAGCTTGTAACCAGTCTGGGGCCTGCACCTGGTGCCATGGGGCGTGCTTGTCCTGGGACCAGGCCCATAGGTAACCATGGTGACCGAACGGTGCATGGGTGGATGGTACTGGTGCCCTCCGAAGGGGGCTCTGTGCTAGGCCAGGCTTGTGGGGGGAGGGGGGCACTCAGGAGGGTATTGTCCGGACAGGGCACCGGCTCACATGGGAAAACGGGCGCTGCATCACAGGCAAGGTCAGGCTGGGGGACCCCTGAGTGAGAAGCCCTGCTTGTGGGCTGGGGTGTCGTCCGAGAATGTTTTCTGGAGGAGCTGGGTCCGAACTGGCTCCCAAATGACCACTAGAGTTTAGACCAGCGAAGGTTCCCACGAAGAAGCGGGGCTGTGCCTGGTGTATTTTAGGGACCATCTGTGCTGGGGGAATGTGAGACTGGAGCGGTGGTGGGGGCAGCTCAGGAAGGGCTCCCAGTGCCTGGCTGTGGCGCTGGGCTTCTGTTGTTCGGGAGGCCAGACATCTCAGGAAGCTGAAAGGGCTGTCCTTGGTTCAGCACAAACTCTTTTGGCTGCATTGTTACCCCGAACCGGTGTGAGGCTACTAATGGCCTTGGCTTGTCCCATTAAATGTGTCATTGTGTTTGCTACTGAATTATTAAAGGGTTTGATTTATGGGGTGCTCCCCCAGATTCCAGTAGGAGTGTTATGTAACAGTGGGTACACCCACTGCTTTTCTAAAATCTGGAAAGTTCTGAAATTTGTGCCTTCAAGGATTTTGGATAAGGGATTATGATTATGAACCTCCACTGTGGGTGATGGGGAGCCAGGGAAGGTTTGAGCAGGGGAGGGCAGGGGCAGACCTGGGCAGAAAGCCCTGGGGCTGTTGGGAAGGAGCCAGCGGTGAGGGCAAGCTGTGGGTGGAGACCTGGGAGGAGGCTGAGGAGGAGGAGGCTGGAGAAGAAGAGACCTGAACTGGGCAAAGGGCTGCAGGGGTGGAGAGTCGGGGAATGCCTTGGTGGCTGGAGGGACAGGGGAGTGTGGGATATTGTCCAGTATCTCTGGCTGGAGTGGCAGGGGGCCGTGAGACCATGGCCAGGTGGGGTGGGGGAGGAGCAGGTTGGGGAGGCCTGGGCTGAGACCAGTCCGGGATACACGTGGCGGGGGGGAGCCGAAGGATGATGTCCAGGAGACACCGGGAAGAGGCAAGGGCGGGTGGAGGAGGGACGGGGTCTGGCTGGGTGTGCTGAGCCAGGCCTCCTGCCTCCCCAGGCTGGGCTGCGGGGCCCCCCCATGCTCCCCCATGCCTCGCTCCCCCGAGGAATGTCGACGTCTCCGGACCTGCAGTGAGTGCCTGGCCCGCCACCCCCGGACCCTGCAGCCTGGAGATGGAGAGGTGAAGCGGGGGAGGGGGAGTGGGGGGCTGTCTCGGGAACTTCAGCTGGGATTGGGTGGGAAGAGCTGGGTCGCGGCGGTGGGGGGGGTTGCCAGGGACCCTGAGAACCCCGCTGAGCCCATGTTCCCCCACCCAGGCATCCGCCCCCCGCTGTAAGTGGTGTACTAACTGCCCTGAGGGTGCCTGCATCGGGCGGAACGGGTCCTGCACCTCGGAGAATGACTGTCGCATCAACCAGAGAGAGGTGTTCTGGGCCGGGAACTGCTCGGAGGCTGTGTGCGGGGCTGCCGACTGCGAGCAGTGCACCCGGGAGGGCAAGTGCATGTGGACCAGGCAGTTCAAGAGGACAGGTGCGGCTCCCCACTGAGGACGGCCTGGGCCCCCCCTCCCCCCGCCCCGGAAGGGGCAGAGCGGGGGAGGGCCCGGAGGCCAGGCCCAGGCTCTGATTCCTGTGCCCTTGACCCCAGGGGAGACCCGCCGCATCCTCTCAGTGCAGCCCACCTACGACTGGACGTGCTTCAGCCACTCTCTGCTGAACGTGTCCCCAATGCCGGTGGAGTCGTCACCCCCGCTCCCCTGCCCCACTCCCTGTCACCTCCTGCCCAACTGCACCTCCTGCCTGGACTCCAAGGGTGCAGACGGGGGCTGGCAACACTGCGTCTGGAGCAGCAGTCTCCAACAGGTACTGCTGGGCGGGGTGTCCAGGGGGCCCTCCCAGCCCTGCCCCTGCCCCTCTGTCCTACTTCCTCCTCCGTTTCCCTGGCTCCGGTCCCTCCATGGTGCTTCCTGTCTCCTCCTCCTTCCTCTTATTTCCTCCCCCACCAGCACCTCCTCCTTCCCTCCTGGCCTCTCGAGCCTCCCTGTCGTGTCTGCTAGGACCCTGCCACGCTGCCATCTTCCGGACCCCGCAGCCAGGGTCACGGTACCCCCCATCCTTCCCCCGACTGCTAATGCCATCTCGCCTCTCCCTCCCAAACCTCTGTGCTTGCCTTCTCTGTCCCTTTCTCTGCTTTTGGAACTTCTGGTTGTAAGGTACAGAGACCCGCTCGGTTTTATTATATGGAATTGGGGTAGGAAGTCCTGCGGCTCCGTCCTTCTCGGGCCTCAGGGTCTCTAATCTTGGCCGTTCTCTGCGCGTCTCCATCAGCCCCTTTCTCTCGCCTTGATCATCCGGGGTTAGCTCACATTCTCAAGGGCAGACTTTGACTCAGCTGACCGGTGAGATGTCCAGCCTTGGCCTAGTGAGACATGGCCAGGGAGGGGTAGGAACACGGCGTTCAGCTGCGGGCTGGAGAGATGGCTCTCTGTAGGTGTGGTCTGGGCAGGCAATGTGGGTACCAGGGACAGTCCACCCCTTGACTGTCCGGCTCCTGCTTACCCCGTAGAGTCTGGTCCAAAGATGGCTCTGCTTAGCATGATTTGGCCGCCCCCAGTGGCAGCCACAAGCCCTTCGACCCCCAACCCCACCCCAGGGGGAGACAAGAAAGATTCACCTCCTGCTGTCACATCCAGAAGCAGTGTCGTTCGTTGGGCCGGAGTTCTGGGTCTCTGAGTCCCAGTGATGTCCACTTCTCATTCATCCTTGTGGATGTCCACGAGTGACCACTTGCCATCTCGCAACACATGCGCCTACGTGAATCTTTGGTAAAATAGGACCGATAACAACAGACCCAACACCAACAACCCGTTCTCCAACTCTCTGGACACCAACTGAGTGTCTAACAACTCCGTTCACTCCTGACACCGCCCACCTAGCACTGGGGCCAGATCCTACAAAGTTCAAGTCCCACAGGCCTGCCCCCATTTTGAGGCCAGTCACGCCCTCAGACTCCCTGTGCTTCTGACCAACGAACTGTAAATCGGTTTCTACCACCCCCACGGCAGGTTTGATCATTTGCTAGAATGGCTCACAGACCTCGGAGAAACAACTACTCGCTAGGTACCTGTCACGATGAGCTAGAATCCCGCTCTCGGGAATTAACATTCCCATATCTCTTCCAAGAGCGCAGGGGATGCAGTTGATGGTGTTGGGCAGCATCACCTGTGGCCACTAGGGAGGTCACAGCAAAAAAAAGCTGTGCAGACTGGGGACTTGGTCTCCCACCTCCCCCCCCCCACCAGGTTGCCCCACCATCTGCTAAGGGGTGCACTAAATTTAGATCTGGAAGCCAAGCTCCAGCAGGTCAGCAAGGCTCAGCTCACTGCTGGCTGTAAGCGTCTGTGGGCTCAGAGCTCCGGCCACAGCAGCGAGGGTGTCTATTTCAGGATTGCGTGGTTGCTGAGTGCTGTCAGGCAGCCTGGACTAATCCCTGTCTTCTTAAGGCCCGAACAGTAAATGAAATACTCTGACACCCTGTGGAAAGTTCCCAAGAGTCTGACCCTGACTGCACACCTTGTCTGGGTCCCAGGACGTGCTAAGTGATGGCGTGTGAGCTACTGGGCAGCCCCTGACCGCAGACTCCGCTTCCCAGCCTAGCACAGGAGGACCCTGTGGCCCCAGCAGCCAGCTCCACGTTTTTCCTAAGTGACAGTGGCTTGCAACCCTGCACCTGTCGCTAGTTTCTGTCCCAACCTGGGATTGTTGCCTCCCTTTGGTTGTGAGAAACAGCCATGTGCGCTAAGCCAGGTGGGGAGACCGACACCGCCAGTCACACCAACACAGTGGTACTTCTTGGAGCCCAAGGTGCAAAGTGCAGCCAGGCCTGGCGACGGAGCCTGGAAAAGCTGCCCTCCGCTCCCCCTGCCCCGCGTGCCGTGGGCTTGGGGTGTGTGGTCCTCATCGATGCTTCCTTCTGCATCTGCTCTTTTCCTGTCCCTCTCTTCTTTTCATTTGCTGTGATTTGCTCATCCTAACAGCCCCCAAAGCCCTCACCTCCAGAATCTTCCAGTTTCAAGGATGCCCCTAGCCTGACTCCCATTGTGGACTCCCAAGTTACAAATGCTTGACAGGGAGAATGTGATTAACCCCTGCTGGTGTCCACTCTGACTCATCAGCTGTGGCCAGAGAGGGGCGAGAGCTCCGAGGAGGGGGTGCGGTCCGGGAAGACACCCAGAGTGTGTTTGATCCTCTTTCTCTGCCTCTCTCTTGCCCACCCCCCCACCTCATTTCCCATCTCCCCTCCCCTGTACAGTGTCTGAGCCCCTCCTACCTGCCCCTGCGATGTATGGCTGGAGGCTGTGGCCGCCTGCTGCGAGGACCCGAGAGCTGCTCCCTGGGCTGTGCTCAGGCTTCCCAGTGTGCCCTGTGCCTGTGGCGCCCCCACTGTGGCTGGTGTGCCTGGGGGGGCCAGGATGGGGGCGGCCGCTGCCTGGAGGGTGGACTCAGCGGTCCCCGTGACGGTGAGCCACGCTCGGGGGTGGGTCTGGCCCAGAGAAGCTGGGGGGCGCCGGGGGGTCTCGGAGGTGGGGCTCAGGAAGGTAGAGCGAGGGCCCCGGGTGGCTGGGCGGCTGCTGCACAGGCACCCGGGGCAGCTCTGCGTGTCCCTGCGCCAGGGCTGACGTGCGGCCGGCCTGGGGCCTCCTGGGCCTTCCTGTCCTGCCCCCCTGAGGACGAGTGTGCAAACGGGCACCACGACTGCAACGAGACGCAGAACTGCCACGACCGGCCGCACGGTTATGAGTGCAGCTGCAAGGCAGGCTACACCATGGACAAGTGAGGCGGCGGGGGCCCAGGCGACTGGGGGGGGGGGCTGGGGGGGGGGCTGTGGGAGCAGGGGCCGGCACAGGTGTGAGGCGTGCGGTGCATGCAGGAAGGGGTGGAGGGCCAGTGCGTGGAGGGGCAGGGCTCGCCGGGAAGAGGGAGGATGGCAGGCTAAGCCCCTGAGGGAGATGGAGGCTAGACCCCGGAGGCGAAGCATGGGACAGACCAGGGGTGAGCCACGAGTTGAGGGTGGTCTAGTGGGTGGTGGGCTGGCCAGAGCCCTGAGGACCCCGGCCCTGCCCTGACCCTCCACCCCCCCCGCCCCCTGCCCCCCGCCCCTGCAGCGTGACCGGGCTGTGCCGCCCCGTGTGCGCCCAGGGCTGCGTGAACGGCTCGTGTGTGGAACCCGACCACTGCCGCTGCCACTTCGGCTTCGTGGGCCGCAACTGCTCCACCGAGTGTCGCTGCAACCGCCACAGCGAGTGTGCGGGCGTGGGGGCCCGCGACCACTGCTTGCTATGCCGCAACCACACCAAGGTGGGCTGCCCGGGGCCTCCGACGCGCCCCGGGGACAGGCCCTACCGGCCCTCAGCCCACGCGCCCGCGCCTTGAGCCTCACTCCGAGCCTGGAGGAGCCAGCCCCGGGGGTGTGGGGGGCGTGTGGGGAGGCTTTGGGGACACTGCCTGGATTCGTGTCAGAGAGGGGCCGCCCCGGAATAGGGGACAGAGTCAGTGCTGGACTAGGGAGGTGGGGCCGTGGAGGAGGACTTCGGGTGGTGCAGGGAAGGGCTTTCTGAGCTCAACACTTTGGGCTGGACGGGCATGAACGCCACCCCCCTCGGCCCGAGTCACCAGAGGTGTGCGAGCAAAGGCAGAGGGCTAAACTGCCCCAAGGCTGGGATGGCCCAAACCAAGAGCCTGAGCCCCTGCCGCCCTCCCGCGGTGCTCCCAGAGGGCCCCTTCTCCCACTCCACCTGCTCTGACCACCCCGTCCCCGGTTTCCAGGGCAGCCACTGTGAGCAGTGCCTCCCCCTGTTCGTGGGTTCAGCCGTGGGGGGCGGGACCTGCCGGCCGTGCCACGCCTTCTGTCGTGGCAACAGCCACGTCTGCGTCTCCAGGAAAGAGCTCGAAATGGCCAGGAAGGAGCCCGAGAAGTACTCGCTGGATCCGGAGGAGGTAGGAGAGGCCACGGGCCAGGACTCCTGGGTCTCGGGGACGAGGGGGCTGGCCCACGCCTCTTTGCGATCACCTCGTCTTTCCTTGGCCAGATTGACAACTGGGTGACCGAGGGGCCCAGTGAAGATGAGGCTGTGTGTGTGAACTGTCAGAATAACAGCTATGGGGACAAATGCGAGAGCTGCCTGCACGGCTACTTCCTCCTGGACGGGAAGTGCACCAAGTGAGAAGCAGGGGGCCGGGGACCCTAGCCCTGCCCACGGGGAATAGCTCTGGGAGCCACACCCCTCTCCCCGGTTCTCTGCCCTCAGGCAGGAGCGGACAGGATCCCCAGGGAGGCCCCGGGCTGAGGCCGAGCTGGGGGCCATGGGCCAGGCTCAGGTGGGAGACCCCCTCCCTCAGAGGCCGGTGCTGACACGCAGACCACAGAGCGTCTGCCGTGGAGACTAGGGGGCAGAGAGGGAGCTGCTGAGGGGCGAGGCCTTCGGGCGGCCTCCCACCCCCCCCCCCCTTCCTTCCCCGAATGCTCAGTAGACTCAAATCATTTGGACCTGGCTTCAAGTCCTAACCTTGCCGCTGACTGGCTCCATGGCTTTGGGCAAATGGCTTGACTCCCTGTGAGCCTCAGTTTCCTCTTCTGTCCTGGAGCTCGGACTCAAGCTCACCTATGCAGCATCCAGCCTGGACCCCTGTGGGCCAGGGGAGCTCTGTGACCCCTGTCTTCTCCCCCTTCCTCAGATGCCAGTGTAATGGCCATGCAGATACATGTAACGAGCAGGACGGGACGGGCTGCCCGTGTCAGAACAATACGGAGACGGGCACGTGCCAGGGCAACTCCCCTAGCGACCGTCGGGACTGCTACAGGTACCAGGTACGGCTGGAGAAGTGAGTTCCAGGCCAAGGGCCCCGCACCCCGAGAGGGCCACTCATTCATCCAGCACATATTTACTGAGCACCTACTGTGTGCTGGGCTGCATGGGAGGCACCGGGACGCAGTGGGCACCAAAATGGGCAGGGTGTTCTGTCCTCGGGAAAGTTACATTCCGGTGGAGGATCCCAGCAACAAACGAACGAGTAAGTCAGATGCAGAGTATGTTAGTGATCAGCAGTGAGGAGAAAGGAATGGGAATGGTAGATATGACGATGAGGGAGGGCCTCGGTGAGAAGGTGACGCTTGAGAAACGAACTGATAGTAGTCGGGATACCAGACAAGCAGCCACGGGGTTTGTGGGCGAGTAGAGAGTGATCCAGGCAAGAGGATCAGCCAGTGCAAAGGCCCTGAGGTGGGACGTACCTCATGCAGTCCAGAAACAGCAAGGCTGGCAGGTGAGGCCGGCCTACCCTGTGCTGTGCCTGGGGCTTCAGCAGTCCCATGCGGGAGCCCTGTTTACCGCCTGGGTACAGAGGAAGGATCTCAAGTTCAGCGAGGTTAGCCACATAGGTAGTGAGGAGTAGAGGCAGGTTCGACAGAGCCCTTCATCGCTGCGCCTGAGAGTTCTAGAGGCCTCCACATCAGGGTGGGACAGCAGCGCTGGAGTGTGGGGTCCTGGGGGCCTCCACACTGCTTCGGGGTGAGGGACAGTCACCAGGAAACTGCTGGGGACTGAGGGAGCCTGGGGCAGTGGCTGCTCACCAGTCGGTCCAGAATGTCAGGACTTGGAAGGTGGCCGGGCGCTGAGCTCGGCCCTGACCGCCCTCCCCCCCGCCCCCCCGCAGTGCGCCAAGTGCCGGGAGTCATTCCATGGGAGCCCGCTAGGTGGCCAGCAGTGCTACCGCCTCATCTCCGTGGAGCAGGAGTGCTGCCTCGACCCCACGTCCCAGACCAACTGCTTCCACGAACCCAAGCGCCGGGCTCTGGGCCCTGGCCGCACGGTCCTCTTTGGCGTGCAGCCCAAGTTTACCAATGTGGACATCCGCCTGACGCTGGATGTGACCTTCGGTGCCGTGGACCTCTATGTCTCCACCTCCTACGACACCTTCGTGGTCCGCGTGGCCCCCGACACAGGCGTCCACACCGTGCATATCCAGCCCCCTCCGCCCCCGCCGCCTCCCCCACCCCCTGCTGACGGCGGACCCCGGGGGGCCGGGGACCCAGGGGGACCAGGGGCCGGAAGCGGGCCAGGTGCCCCAGCCGAGCCACGGGTGCGGGAAGTGTGGCCACGCGGCCTGATCACCTACGTGACGGTGACGGAACCGTCGGCAGTGCTCGTGGTTCGTGGCGTGCGGGACCGCCTGGTCATCACCTACCCGCACGAGCACCATGCTCTCAAGTCCAGCCGCTTCTACCTGCTCCTGCTGGGCGTGGGGGACCCGAGTGGGCCTGGCGCCAATGGCTCGGCCGACTCGCAGGGCCTGCTCTTCTTCCGGCAGGACCAGGCCCACATCGACCTGTTTGTCTTCTTCTCCGTCTTCTTCTCCTGCTTCTTTCTCTTCCTCTCGCTCTGTGTGCTCCTCTGGAAGGCCAAACAGGCCCTGGACCAGCGGCAGGAGCAGCGCCGGCACCTGCAAGAGATGACCAAGATGGCCAGCCGCCCTTTTGCCAAGGTCACCGTCTGCTTCCCGCCCGACCCCGCTACGCCGGCCCCTGCCTGGAAGCCGGCCGGGCTCCCGCCGCCCACCTTCCGCCGTTCCGAACCCTTCTTGGCACCCCTGCTGCTGACCGGGGCCGGCGGGCCCTGGGGACCCGTGGGAGGAGGCTGCTGCCCACCAGCCATCCCCGCCACGACCGCTGGCCTGCGAGCCGGGCCTATCACCCTCGAGCCCACCGAAGATGGCATGGCTGGTGTGGCCACGCTGCTGCTCCAGCTGCCTGGGGGACCCCAAGCGCCCAACGGTGCCTGCCTGGGCTCCGCCCTTGTCACGCTGAGACACAGACTGCACGAGTACTGTGGGGGCGGCGGGGGCGCCGGGGGCAGTGGGCACGGGGCTGGCGCAGGCCGGAAGGGACTGTTGAGCCAGGACAATCTCACCAGCATGTCCCTCTGACCCACGGTGGGGTCCTCAGCCACGGCAGCGCAGTGCCCTGGTGACGCCGCCCTGGACTCGGGGCTCCTCCCCCCACCCCGACACCGTGTCCTCAGAGACCTCCGGCTCCCTTTCCCTGGGGCTCCCCAGCCAGGGCACTCGCCCTTCTGCAGCCAACAATTATTTATTGAATACTTACTCTACGCTGTTGAAGGCACTGGGCAGAGCAGAAAGCGAGACAGACCAGTTCCCTGATCTTGTGGGGCTTCAGTTCGGGTGGAGGGAGACAGTCGGTGCGTGCCAGTGTGTGTGCGCACGCACACACACACACACACGTGAGATCGTTTCTGTGAAGGAGAGGTGCCAGGAGGGATCACGGGATGTGGCCATGAGGGACCGCGGGGTAGGGTAAGTTGGGCATTCGGAGAAGCTGGGCCTAAAGATTGAGAGAAGCGGCCGCGGGGAGAACGCTGGGAAGTGGATCGCAGGCGGTGGGAGCTGCAAGGACCAGTCCCAGAGGTGGGGACCAGCGTCCTTTATTGGAGGGATCGGAGCGGTGGCCAGTGTGACCCAGACCGAGTGCGAAGAGGAGGCGAGGTTGGGGACCAGGCAGGGGTGGCATCACCCGGGGCCGTGCAGGCCCCAGATAGGGTTTTGAGTTTTATTCTCAGGGCAGTGGGAATCCGTGGGACAGTTGTATGAGGGCGAATGACAGGATCCGACGTACCTATTCAAGAGATCCCTCAGCTGTGGTGTGGAGAATGGGTCGGAGGGGACAAGAGATGACAGTGGGCTGGACTAGGGTGGTGGCGGGGAAGGGGTGTGTCAGGGACAGGTGCAGGATGTGTGTGGATGTTGGGGCGGGGGAGGGGAATCCAGGATGACCTCGACTTTGTAGCTCAAAACTATGGGTGGACGGCGGGGTGGTCTATTACAGTGGGGCAGCCTGGGGCTTGTGGGGACGATCAGAAGGCCAGTCTGAGATGCCCTGTTCAGTCAGGCCCAGCCAGGGAGACAGACCGCTCTGCGTAGTTCAGTGGAAGGAACCGAGTGCGGGGGATTGGCTGTTCTGGTCTGCCCATCAGAGGTGGGACGGTGAGGTAGCAGCCACCACCTTGGACTTCTGAGCTCCTGTCCCCCTTGAGGACCGCCCCCATCCTAGCCATCTTGAACTTGGGACTTGTTTTTGCAAGACTCCATCCCCCAGCTGCGGGTTTGGACCTTGAGGAGCTGAGCCCCGCCTCTTCTCTGCTGGGGGCCTCAGTCTAGGAGGCTGAAAGAGGGACAGCGCCTGAAGCAGCAAATAAAGAGTGTGGGGAAGGCCGGTGTCTGAGCTCCGTGTGCATGCAGGAGATGGGGTGTCTTGTTTCTCGGAACAGCACCCGAGTGTGGATAAATCCAATTGGTGCGCCTACCTTGGTGGCCCCTTGGAGCCGCGTGGCTGGGCCTGGCTCTACCCTGCCTCTCCTTTGCAGGGGTGGGATGGTGCTGCTTGTTCGTCCCTAGAAAGGACGGACCTAGGGGAGGTGAGGGCTCGGAGGCCTCTGGCCCTTCCTCAGATCCCTGTTGCAGGGAGACCCGTTTGTCTCAGGAGGTAAAACAGACTCCCTTGGTCCCAGGCTTGGGTTTTATTCTGGCCTCAGAAGAGTTGAGGCAGCAGAGAGACCAAGATGCCCCAGCATGATGAGTTTCCTCGAATCTGAGAAGGCTCTCACGGCCTGAACGGGGAGCATCTCGGGAGCCTGCCAGGCCCACAGGGCAAGCAAGAGCATGACGCGGGCGGTGGAAATGTGCCCTCAGTCGGCCTTGTGCAGCGTGGGAGTCCGGCTGAGAGGTAAGCAACATGCCTTCCAGTTCAGCCAGCCCGGGGGCAAGGCTGGTGGCTTCATCTGGTGGTTAGCCAAAGACACTGCAGTGAGGTGCACTTAGGGGGTGGTTGCGTCTGCAATGTGGTCCACGAAAATCATAGTATTTCCAGATTTATGGGCAATGCAAAGGATTTTCAGGGATGACTCTGCCCACACAAGAGTTCTGCCTTGATGAGCTGTTGGTAGGACCTAACCTCCACGACGTGACTGTGAACTTGTATTTGCTGAGTACCTGTGTTAGACAGTTCTCCTGGCCACGTTCCAGCCCAACAACCGTATGAGGGGGGTAACTAATCCCGGTGTGCAGATGAGAAGACCGAAGTTCATAGACATCATTCAGCTGTTCAGGGACAGCTGCCCCGTGACTCAAATCCACATGCCTGACCACCAGGCCCTCTTGCCCCCTGAGGAGGGAGGCCCCGGGAATAAGGAGGGGACAAGGCCACAGAGAGAGCAAAAGGGACATCGTGCAGGTTCTTCCTTAGCCCACCTAGCTGAGCGCTGTCCCAGCACAGAGCGGGCACTAGGGGCAGGTGTTTGAAATACCCCGTTTCTGCCAGGGGTAAGGCATAATTTCGCACCCAGGAAGCTCGCCAGAAGCAGGCATGCTGCCTCGGGGAGTCCCAGGCCAGTGGAGCGGTCATCCTGCACCACCAGGAAGGAGCTAAGGTGGTCCTTCGAGATTCGTCTGCGTTCTGATCAGACTTTTGGTAAGGTCTCTTTCCCGCCACCAGCCTGTGACTGTGCCTTCTGGGGCAGAGCATTTGCACTGTGACTGGCCCCTGTCCCTGGGACACAGAACCACCCTCTCCAGCTGCTGTGCATACCGTGCGGATGCCCCTGTACGAATGCCCTATAGCACGTGTACCCTGTCCCTCCACGTTAGCCCCTCAGCGGGCACCTCGCCCTGAGGTGTATATTCATCCACATACGTGAATGCAAGAGGCTCCCCAGGAGCATGAGAGAAAGCCTGAGCGTGGGAGCCTGAAGGTCTGGATTCAGGGGTCTGTGTATGGCCATCAGTGCCTTAAGGACTTCGGGAAAAGGGGTGGAGGGGGGATTTCACCAAGGGCCTACAGCATTCCAGGTAGTGAGTGCTGGGTGCTTGGTGTGTCTTTTACTCTTCCCAACATCAATGCTGAGAGGTACAGGTTTGTGCCCCCATTTTGCATATTTGGAAACTAAGCCCCTTGCCTAAGGACCCAGGGCAGATTAACAGCCCAGATTCTGATGCAAGCCTGTCTGTCCTTTGCCCCCTCCCCCAATTACCTCTAAAATAATGTCCCTTTTCTGCGTCCATGGCTCCCACCTGTGATCACTCCTCTCCGCCTGCAATGGGCTCCACACTGTTCTAGGTGCTGGGGACACAGCTGTGAATGAGGTCCCTGCCCTCATGGAGCTGACAAGCCAGCGGGGAGCCAGATAATAAATAATCAAACGATGTGGTATTTTGATATATGGCCAGAAAAACAAGGTGTTGAAGGAGGGGAAGGGGGGTCAGTACTCGCTATGGAAGATAAGGTAGAAGGGAAGGCCTCTCTCTTCAGATGGCGTGTGAGCAGAAGTGAAGGAATGAGCCGTAGGGACATGTGAGGGAAGAGAATTCCAAGTTGGGGGAACGGCTAGTGCAAAGGCCCTGCGGTGGGAGCATGGCTAGCATTGGAGAAACAACCAGGAGACTCGTAGGAGGGAATAAGGAGGAGAGAAGGGCACAGAGGAAGCAGGAAGCAGATGGTGCAGGTCCTTGGGCCACAGTGAGGGCTCTGGCTTGAACTCTATGCAGGAAGAGCCATGAGAAGGTTCTGAGGGCAGGAGGGATGCGACCTAACTCAGGTGTTCACAGGGCTTCTCTGTGGGAGGAAACTAAAGAGGTGGAGTTAGGGCGCAGAGCCCAGTGAGGAGCCACTGCATTAGTCTAGGCTGAAGAGGAGGGTGGCTGGAACAAGGTGGGGGCAGTGGAGTAGGGAGAAGTGAGGTTCTGGATATATTCTGAAAGTAGAACCAATGGAACTTGTTGACAGGTTGGGACATAGGGTAATAAAGTGACTGAGCAGCTGGAAAGATGGGGTTTGCTATTTCCTGAGAGGGGGAGCCTGGGAGAAGCAGGTTGCGGGTGGGGAATCCAGAGTTAGGTTTTATTTATTTATTTATTTGAGAGAGAGAGAGAGAGAGTACTTGCGGGGTGGGGGAAGGAGAGAGAATCTCAAGCAGGTTTCATGCCCAGCAGGGAGCCCAACGTGGGCTCTCTGAGATCCTGAGATCATGACCTGAGCCAAAATCAAGAGTTGGACGCTTAACCAACTGAGCCACAGAGGCACCCCTGGATGCCTTTAAAACCCAGGTTTTAAATTTGAGATGCCCGTTAGATACTCCAAGTAAAGATGTCACTTGATGGTTGGATACACAGATGGAGAGAGAGAGCGAGAATAACAGCAAATAATACAAATAACAGAATAGTGTAGTGTTATTATACATAGTAATATTAACAAGTTTATTAAGCTTACTCTTTGGTCTTTCCATCTGTTCTGTCTCTTGCTCACACAGTAGCCATATGACATATTAGGGATTATCCTCGGAGGAGGAAACAGGCCGAGAGAGGCTTATTAATTGACTAAGATAACACGCCTAGTAAGTGGCAAGAGTTGAGATCAGATCCTTGGTCCGCCCAATTCTGAGACCAGATTTTCTTAATCTGCTAGTCGCTTTTGCAATAAAGAGAACTGGGTGATCCTTAAGGATTAGTTTCAGCTCCAGGGAGCCTTGAACCTGGCAGTTCTCTGCTTTGGAGATAAAGGACCCCCTCCCCCCAAACCTGTTAGGAATGTGTGTAGGCCAAGAGTCCATAGGTATTGACTTAGTAGGGGTGGGGGAGGGGCTCTCCTAAATTTTTTTCTGGAGCTTTTTCTGGTTTTGCTTATTTTCAGGATCCTGGCAGAACTTTGGTTGGGCAGTTTAAGGGGTTAGTGGTTTCACTCTGTTAATGAGGGACCCGCTGGTTTAGCGAGGTAAGAGACTTGCCAATGTCATACACAGCAGGCTGGGGTCAAGGCTCTGACCCTGGCATCCTTCCACACCTAGACATCTTCCCTGTGTCCCCACACCCCTCACCAAACCTCCTTCTCCACCCAGATTCCTTCCCTGGGACAAAAAGAATGCAGGCGGAGTTGGTTTTCAGGTTTTTATTGTGGGCGTATTTCTGGTAGCGGGATAGCGCGGAGGGGCAGGCCCTCCCACGAGGCGGCAGAGGGGGCAGAGGGGGCCGAGGGGGCCGAGGGGGCCGGGTGTGACAGGTGGAAAAGGAGGAGACGCGGGGAGCTGCTTTACTCCCGGATCTTCAATTCCCGCGCCATCTGACAGAGGGCGCAGGGCAAACAAAAGGTGAGGGCCGCCCAGTCGTGCCCGACGGAGCCCTAGAAGGTGGGGGAGAGAGAGTCAGGAGCCCCGCCATGGGTGCCCCTAGGAGGTCCATCCCCACCCGGGCCCCGCGACCCGCCCGCACCTGGATGTGATAGCGCTCCCGCATGCCGGTGCGCAGGGAGTGCAGGCCTCCGGGCAGGTAGGGCGCGCAACAGCACTCCCCGAAGTCGTCGGAGATGCGGCAGGCGAGGCACAGGGGGGCGAAAGTGCCGCACAGACCTGGGGGCGGGCGCGGGGCAGTCAGAGCGGGGCCCACCGGGCGCCCCGGGCCGGCTCCGCCTCGGGGAGAGGCGAGGCCGATGCTCTGCGGCGCCCAGTCGAGGGTCCCGGAGGGAATGAAGGGTCCCAGCGGCGGGTGGTTTAGGAAGCTGGGAGATAGGGTTTTGGAGGGGGAGCTGGGGCCACAACGGGGAAAGTTGAAGGTGCAAGGGACGGGGAGGTTGAGGGTCGCAGGGGAAGTTGGAAGAGGTGAGGTCAGGATCCTGGGGAGTGTTGGAGGTGGGAGGAAGGGGTGAGGGTTAGAGTGTGGGAATTCGGGGTCTAAGGAAGGGAGGGGGCGTGGGGTTCGTGGGGCCTGGCCCCGCCCCCCGGAGGGAGCCGCCGGCACTCACAGACGGGCATGTCGTTGCAGCAGTCCGTGAGTCCCGTGTGCCAGTCGCTGAGCTGGGTCTGGTAGCAGCTGCTAGCGCACTGGGGCTGACTGGTCACTGGGTAGGACATGGCTGCAAAGGTGGTGGGCCAGGGTCAGCGGGCAGCCCGACAGCCCCTCCCGGACACCACATCCCTGCCGCCCCTTCCTTTGCCGGGCAGTCTGGGCGGGGCCACCAGGCCGCCCACGGAGGGGACACACCACTGCGCCCCCCCTTCCTGTCCGCCACGTTTGGGCACTGACACCCCAGTCTGTCCCCATCGCCACTGCCTCCTGCACATCTGGTTGGGCTGTGGGTGGGGAACTCCTGCAAGTCTGGGCTAGGGTGGGTGCCACATCCGGGCGGGGCGAGATGTGCGCCGCCTCCTCCTCGTCTGGGCCTGGGGAGCTGGGTTCCCGCATTTCCAGGGGCCTCTGGGGTGCAATCAGGCGCCATCTGTCTTCGAAGCCAGGGTGCCCAGGGGAGGGAAGCGGCCAGGTTCCAGGGACTGGAAGGGTTCCAGTGATCCCACCTTTGCCTTTCACGTTGTCGTGCATCTCAAACTGCATCTTGCTGGCCCTGAGGAGGTGGCGGTGTTGGGGACGGCAGAAGTGGCCGCGGTGACAGTGGTTGAGTCTGTCCAAAGGATGCTGGATACTGGGGGAGGGGCGGGCAAGGAGCAGGGGCACTGGGGGCTAGGTTCTCAGGGGGAAGGGCACTGGGGAGAAAGAGGCCAAGTCAGCCTGCCAGCTGGGAGAAACATGGAGTAGGGATGTATGGGGTGGGGGCGAGAAACTCGCCCGTCTCTGTACGGCTGCCGGACAGACCCCACAGGACCTTCCTCATACCAGAGGTAGAGCTGGAGACAGAGACCAGGGGACAGAGACAGGCGGAGTCAGAGACAAGTGGAGAAAGAGATCAGAGCCAGGTGCCCATAGCGATGCCACCAGTAACACTCACACCTGCCCAGCGCTTTGACTTCTCTGCAAGCCCATTTCGCAGATGGAACACCGAGGCTCAGAGAGGTGAAGAGAAATGCCCCACATCCGACGGCCCAGGCCAAGGGGGTTAGTAGAGGCCGTGCTGGGCCCCAGGACTTCCAGATTCAACCCAGCGCCACTGAGGTTGAGAAGGTGGACACGGAGGGCATTGAGAAAGACAGAAGTGTCCACCGAGACAGTCAGAGATATGCAAGGGACAGAGATGTCAGTGGAATGGGGGTGGGGGGGGAGGACACAGTGAAGAGGCTGTGGGCAGATGCTCCTACCTGCAGGAGACAGCAATGGCGAAGATGCAGACAGGTGTGGGTGAGCCGGGCACTGTGTTCTGTCTCTGGCCAGGAGCTGCTTATATTGGGGCGGGCCACACAGCCCTGGGCGGGGCTCTGACGGAGGTGCCCAGGGAGCCCAGCCGGTCTGGCTGACCCTCTTCCCCCCACAGGAACTTCCCCTCCCTGGCTCTCCATCCCCCATCCCCCCTTTTCCCCTCCAGCTCTTGTGGGACCAAGGAAATCAGGGAGGGGGCCAGGGATGCGGAGCTGGGAGGGGAGACAGAAAGGGGAGCAGGCAGAGAGAGACAGGGGGTGAGGGGAGAGAAGGCAGAGGGGAGGCGCGAGGGGCGCAGTTGGGCTACAGTGCAGAGACCCAAAGAGAGGGACGACAGAGAGACGGGGGAGGGAACGGGGGACACAGAGACAGAAGGGGAGAGGCCCAGACGGGAGAGAGAAGGGGATTCAGAGAGGTGGACAGAGACGAAGACATAGAGAGATGGAGAGATGCCGAGACAGAGAGGGACAAAGATCTGGGGGAGAAACAGCAGAGAGAGGAGCCAGATTCAGAGAAGAGACACAGAGGTGGAAAGTGGAGAGGCAGGGAGGTGGAGGAAGGAATGGGGGGTGCAGGAGAGTGCAGTGGGGGCTCCCCTGTGAGGGCCTCTCCTGTCCCCCTGAGTGAGGCTCCCACTTCCCTGGAAGAGGGGGCACTGTCCTCCCATCTGGGGCCACCAGGCACATGGGGGGCAGTGTGTTTTGGGGTGACTCATGCTGGCAACCAAAGTAACTCAACTCACTCGACCTTCAAACTGGGAAGGGAGGAGGCTGGGAACCAAGAAGTGTGGTTCTGGTAGGAGATGGATGTGGCCCAGGACTGGGGGTGGGGGGCAACAGAGCAGATTGGGGGCATGGGGGCCGGACTCCTGGATCTGAGGGAGTTGGGGCTGGGGCTTCATCTGAGCCCTTAACAGAGGAGGGAGAGGGGCTCAGATTCTGGCTGGGGGTGTAGACTCTTGGGTTAGGCTAGGCTGCACCCCTGAGTGTGCAGGGGTCCTGGGATTTTTGACTGCTGGGCTCCTGAGGGGTGAAAGAGCGAGGGGCCTGGAGGCCTGAGTCACCAAAGCCTGCCCCCAACAGGCCTGGCAGGGTTGGAAGTGACTCAGTGAGGGAAGCAGCATTAGAGTCGGGTGGGGTTTCCAGCCCGGGTGTCACCCCAAAAATGTAGGAGGCGCTGGAAAATTGGGGTGTTACCTGCAGAGAAGGTGGTGGTGTCACCCCACTGGGAATGGGTATGGGGTGATGGCAGGTGGATCACCCTGTCCGCCTGGGATCCCAGCTTTTCCCTCACCTCCCAATCCAACCTACACCAGGACCCAAGCCTTGGTCTCCCAGCACCACCCAGATGGCTCGCTGTCCTTGTCCCCAGACTGATGGGTGGCACTCAGCGTTTTGCTGGCGCCTGTCCATTACTTGGTCCAGGAGCCTGAATGTCTAGGAACATCTTCTCTCCACTTCTGGTCTAGTGTCCCTGTGCCCCCATCTCTGCATCTTTGCCTCGCCAGCTCTGTATCTCTTTCCTGATCTGTTTCCAAGCTGCTCTGGTTCTCTGTCCCCCCATCTCTGAGTCTCTGTTCCCTCAAGCTGTGTGTCTCCTGCCCTCGTCCCAGGGTCTCTGCCTCCCATCCCCGCATCTCCATCTCCAGGCCTCCCCATGGAGGCAGCCCCAGGGCCCCATCCCCCAGCTGGCCTGACCGTGATCTGCAGGTGACTCAGGGTCAGTCATCTGTGAGGACCCCAGGGCTTCCAGGATGACAACCCGAGTTGTCCTCAGGTTTCCTCTCCCCATTCTGACACCGCCTGGGGGTGCAATTAGACAGCAACTCATGTAGATGAGGAAAGCGGGTGGGGAAGCTGTGAGGTGGCCTGCTTCGGGGGGAGGGGGAGGGCCGGAGCAGGAAGAGCAGGGGCCTGGGGGCTGACCAGTGGCCATGGCTGTCCCCGGGCACCTGGCATCCATCCCCTCAACAGGGTTGCCAGATAAAATATAGGATGCCCAGTTAAATGTAAATTTCAGGCAAACAACTACAACAACAACAACAACACTGTTTTTGGCCTAAGTATGTTCCATGCCATCTTGGGGATATACTTATACTAAAAGAGGTATCTGTTGTTCATCTGAAATTCACCTTTAACTGGGTGTCCTGTATTTTTATCTGCCAACTCTGGAACCCTGCCTTTAAAGACAGAGGAGAGGAATCCAAGTCCCTGGCCCCTCTTTTTCCAGAACCCAGGATCCCAGGCCTCCCGCTCTTCTTCCTCAGGACCTGAGAGTCCAGGTCCGGATCCCCGTCCTCCTCTCTCCTAGAATCCATGACTGGGCGGGGGCACTCAGCTCCTATTCCCTCAGAACCCAGGAGTTCAGGCTCCCAGCCCCTTTCTCTCCAGAATCCAAGCGTCCAAGTCAGGTCTGGGTCCAGTTGCCCAATGAGGGTTTCATAAGGCGGGTGGTGCCATCCATGGCCCTCGTGGAACCGGTCAGGCAGAGCGGACAAGTGAGGTTGCCCCCTCTTCCCATCCTGAGCCTGCTGCTTCCTCGAGGGCTAGCCCAGTGGGGCTGGGAGCAGAACAGGAGCTCAGTGGCGTTCTGGGTGGGACACCGAGTCTGGGTTTGGGTGTGGTGTGTCTCTGCGTGTGGTGTGTGCGTCTCTCTCTGGGTGCTGTGTGTCCCTGTGGGGGTTGTCCCCACGTCTCTGTGTGTTCTGGGGTGTGACATGTGAGGGGGTCTTTTCTATTTGTGTGTCTATATTGCCTTTCTGAGAGTCTACCCACTGTGCATCTCCCCGCTCCTCCCCCACTGTGCATCTCGTTCAGGTGTGGTCGGTTGTCATGGTTCTAGAACTCTGACTGGATTAAGGGAGGAGTGATTTACTGAATAGTAGCCTCTTGTGATGGGTTCCAGAGCCAGAAAACCTGGGTTCAAATTCTCATGGCCTCTTCCTGGCCCTGAAAACTTCGGCCAATCACTAAGCTTGCCTGGACCTTGGTGTGTCCGTCTTCAAACTGAGTGGTGGCAAATAGAGTGGTTGTGAGGATTCGACGAGTTAGTTCATGGGAAGGGCTTAGAACTGTGCCTGGCACTCAGAAACGTTTTGTGTTTCTGCGGGTGATGACAGCAAGGTGCTGTTCTAGTTGCTGGAGATACAGTTGAGAACGAAACCAAGTCTTCTCGTGGTCCTGGCTGGGTTTGAATGAGTGGCCTGCCTGTGGCTGGGCGTATAATTGCATACCTGGGGTGTCTGATTTGCATGTGGAATAGGATATTTCTGTGTGTGTTGTCAGTAAGGGCGATTGTGTGATTGTGTGCTGATGTTTATGTTTGTGTTTGTGGGTGACTGCGCGTGGTGCATGTGATTCTCTGATTGTGTGGGTGCAAATGAAGATCCCACTAAGCAGGTATCGAGGGCATGTGTTTGGTGTGATCTTGCATTTCTGACTCCGAGATGCCAGGGGTGTGTCTGTATTTGGGGTCTTGAGAACCCCTCTCTCAGCTCCTCCTTTTCATGTCCCACAGGTGACCCTGGGAGGGTGACTTCTCCCAAAATGATCCTCAGTTTCTTCCCCTCCTCCCTCTTCCTTTTCTTCCTTTTTATAAGACTTATTTATTTATTTGAGCAGGGAAGGGGCCGAGGGAGAGGGAGAGAATCTCAAGTAGACTCCCAGCTGAGCACAGAGCCTGACACAGGGCTTGATCCCAGGACCCCAAGATCATGACCCAAGCCGAAATCAAGAGGTGGAGGTTCAACCGACTGAGCCACCCAGGTTCCCCAAAGCCTCGGTTTCTTCTTATTGGGGATAGGGGGCCCTGTGTCCTCGGATGAGACACCTGTGTGAAAGGGAAGGTGGGAGGAGATGGGCGAGGCGAGGGAGAGGCTGAGAAACACGATGCGGACACAGAGAGATGGTCAGGATCGGGACAGAGGAATAGCTGCCCAGAGAGGTTTGTCCATCCATTCGGTACGCATTCGCTGAGCTCCTGCGATGTGCCGGGACCTCTGGTGGGCATTGTTTCAAGGTGTGGGGGAAAGCAGAGAGGCCCAGAGGGATGCCCCAGGGTGGCCCACTCATCTCCACGGTGGGACTTAGTGACAGTTCTGAGTGATGGAGGTGCAGTGGTGGAGAGGGACAGAGAAGACCCTGCCCCTCCCCAGTCCTTCCTGAGGCCCAGTCTGTCCAGATGAAAGAACAGAGGCCATGGGGGAAAGGCCCCTCCCAGGCTGGGGGCACCCCCATGAATCATTTTCTTATCATCTCCTAATAGGATAATGACATGCCTGCCCCCTCCTAATCACTATTTTTGACCCCAACCGGGTCCAACGCCCAGAGTGAGAAGGGTTGGACAAGTCTGGTATTTGGAAATCAGCAGAGGAGATACTTGAAAGCCCCAGTCCTAGGTCCTTCCGACCCCAGGACCCAGGAGTCCTAGGCCCCAGCGCCCTACCCCACCCCACGAGTCCCCGCTTGCAGCCCCTCTCTTTTGTTTGCTGTCTACCTTTTCTAACCTCCCTGGGCCTGTCTTTATCTCTTTGCCTGTTTATCTCCATCTGTGTTTTGTGTCTCTCCTGTCTCTTCACATCTGCCTCTTGATTCTTCCTCACTGGGCATCAATTTTCTCACTTGTAAAACGGGGATTATAATAATCTGATCTCTTAGAACTGTAATGAGGAAGACATGCGATAATTATGTGAGATGCTTCGCATAGAACCGGGGCCACAGTCCACGCCATACAAGAGAGAGCTCTCTTATAATTAGTGTTTTTACTATTTTAATCTCTCTTGGTATCAATGTTTTTCTCTTTGTCTCCATGTGAGTTTCAAGTCTCCTCCCGCTCTGGGTTCCCCTGGCAGACAGCACCCTGGCTTCCCTTTCCGGGGAGGTGGAAAGGGCACACCGAGGCCAGAGCTTCCCCTAAGCCTCCTCCTCTTCATTTCTATTCTAAGCCCCACCTCGCGGGACCCAGAACTCTTGCCTGGGGACAA